AGTTCACCAGATTGGACAGGAGGGATGAGATCTTCGGTCTCTTCTGTAGCTCCTCCTGTGAGGAGAGAGGAGAGGAGAGGTGTTGGTAAAACTTATTAATCCACTTGGCACGGTAGTGGCTAGCTGGCAAGAAGTACGGTACGCACTCTGTGTGTATGGTACACGCTCACAGAGAGACAGAGGGAGAGTGCCGAGGAGGAGGAGGTAGACCAAAGAGGGACGAGAAAGCAATAACGTACAGCGATGGTATCAGTTGATGCTATTCAACACCACGCCAAGTAAGGAATGGCTCACGCACTATGTTTAGGATTCTCATTACGTTGCTAAACTGGAGCCTGGAATGCTCAGTTTACCAGGAACACCACAGCACAAATCCTATACCAATCAGACCTCGCCACACAACAGCACTAATACTACATGTACCGTGCCATATGGACAGTGCAGGAACAGCACTAATACTACATGTACCGTGCCATATGGACAGTGCAGGAACACACATACATACATGTACAACAGCATCACTACCTGTGCCCCTAGTAAATGCATACAATGGTAGTTGGTAAGCAGGCATGTATGTCTGTGCCGACCTCGTAGAGGGCCAGGTTGCTGGTAATGGAGGATGTGGTGTACTGATTTCTCTCCTCGTTCGTCAGCGACAGGTACTGCATCGTGGGCCCCACTTCAGGCGTCTCGTGCCCTTTCTCCCTCACTTTAGAGTCCGCCCCCTCGTCTAGAGACGGAGAAACGAGAGTTTTATCGACAAAGAAGTTTACACAAGGAGACAGAGCTCCCATAGACATTGAGCGCCCGCGAAGGCGCTAATGCGGTCGGTTCCCGCTTTACCTGTCGTATCTTCTCTGTTTATTTCATTTTGAGACACGTCAGAGACGGCGAATCGAGGGTTCTCTGTCGCCATTTTTCGCAGTAAACTTCCTTCTCCCTCCTTTCTCTCTGGCCGGCCGCCGCCTGCTGGTTGTGTGTTGCGTGCGCCGTAATTGGAAGTATACGGAAAACGGTCAGGTTAGAATACGGATAAATCAAAAGGGGGCGTTTCCACCATGCAGCAACTGTGAGCCAAAAAGAATCTAGTGGGAGAGGTGAGTTCCGCACCACACACAGTAGTGGAGTTAGAGTATTTGTTGTAGTGCATCCCACACCCTTTACCATTATAGGTTGGTTAGGTCATCAACATCGCTCTCTTTGACAAACGGAAGATGACCTACTTGTGCTAGTAGCTAGTGGGTAGCTTACGACACAGATCAACAAACAAGGTGTCCTCACTGTGCTCATTTTGTTTCCCAACAAGGCATGAAACAAGCTGCCCTCTGTGAACAGTTGTAAGTTTTGCTTGTCCACATGCTCTGAACAACTATTCAGAAGGTTTGGCGATCCCAAATGTTCTGAATGCCACACACCAGCTGTAGCACCATTAGCCACATATTATTACGGGCAGCGTTCAAGGGCTGAAGATTTAGAGTGTTGTTTTGGCTCGAGAAATGAAAGAGACAAAGGTATATATGGAGAGAGCCTATAATACAATACACACATGGATTGAGCAGAAGAGCGCTGACGTAATAATGACACACACACACACACATTGAAAATGAAAGTTTACAAGGCAGCAACTAGGCTACTGCTGCTACTAGGCGATGGGGAGCTGCGGTGAGCCCGCGAGAGCTCTGTACACCTCTGGTGAAAAACTCCGTCTAACTGCTCTGCTGTTGTACTTGCACTCAGCTTGTCCTCGCACTTGAAGGCGTAGCAAGATGGGACCGTGCAACCTTTAGCATGGGCCACAAATGCAAACAGGCGCCTGTACTTGGGGTGGGTCCCCACGAATGAGATCTGACAGTAGCTAAACGAAGCCATCTTCTCGCCTGAACCGACGTCTCGCATCTCCAACTCGTCTTTGACGGCCACCAGTTTCACGTAGCGAGGTCTGGTCACTGCTGTATCATCGCTTGTAGTTCCTCCTCTAACCTTGGCCGAGCCCCGCAGGCTTCTCCGTTTCCTCCCCGCGTCTTCCTGCGTCCTTTGCCACAATTCTCCTGCTGGCGAATCGATGCAGCCTCGTCCGCGAATCGGGCCCTCCATCTCGTGGCAGCCGAGGTAAAAGCACTCCACGAGCGGCAGACCTTCGCTGAGGTCTGCAGAGGCCTCCACGCCAATATCCACCTGGCCTCCCTCCTCCAGGGCAGAGTCAGGCGAGCGGAGAGGCCTTGCTGGAGTTGGTTCGTCCCCCAGTAGCGGTCCGTCTCCCTCTTCCTCATATTCCCAGCTCTGGTAGCCGCCTGCTCGAGTAGTCTGCCGCTTCTTGAAGAAACTCCCAGACCGCAGGAGACCCGTCATCTCTGCTCTCCTGTCAGTGGTTCCTTCCGTCGAGTTTGCAGCAGCTCACTAGCTAGCCTGTTCTGTCGTGTTCCCGCCAAATATTCGTTCGTTAGCTGGGGTTTTTAGCTGGCAGGTGCACCGCTCTGGGTATGGCACGGAGCCAATCCGTGATGAATCGATGTAAAAGTATCTCGAAAACAAGCAGGGAGAAACACTTTATTCGCGCGGGGATTGCCTTCGAGCATGCGCACGACATGCATTTCGCAGCATTTTTAATTTACTTGTTATAATTATAGGAGAGAGAGGAGAGGACACCACCAGGAGAATGCTGGCTAGTGTTATTGACAGGGGAGAGACGAAGGCAAGGAGGAAGCACGTGATCCCAGACCCTGTCACCACACCAAGGAGAGGGCCACTGTGGCTGAGAGGAAGGAGATGTAGAGAGGAGACCAGAGGAAGAAGTCGCAACAGCCGCTCACAGTTGGCAGATGTGTCCAGAGCCCCGGTCCTGCCAAGAAAGTCGGCCAATACCTCACTGAATCGACTGCCTGTGGTGATGATCCAGAGACCTCTGGATCACATTGAGGCCACTCTGGGAGGACTGTCGTGCTGTCTTCTGCAAGAGAGAGTAGCAGTAATGGAGGTGAGTTGCACTGTCCTCCTATATACGGTGTGTGGTGTATATAGTGAAGCCAGCGAGCGTGGGCTTCTGTTTACATTTCACTGGGAACTCTGCGTGTGTTGGGCATCAGTAATATGCAACATTACACACGGTTCACAAGGCATGCCGGCTGCTACGTACATGTCATGTCATCTTCAAGGTCTCCTGTGATATGCACAGACAGCATTCATCACGAAATCGAGTCATGCTTACAGCAGCAAGGTATTATACACGTAAAAAAGCAACAGTAAACCATTTCTTTCATCAGCGTAGTACTATCGTGAGCACACCAAGGTGATAAAGAGAGATGGGAAGTAATCAGGACACCTTACAATGCTCATCAGGACACCTTACTACAAGGACACCTCACAGGACGCATCCGGTATATAGGTGTAATGATATCAAATGAACGACAATAGTGCCCTAGCCAGCCAAGTGGCTCTTCACTAGTATAGCCAACACTATCAACAAAGACAGGTCTCCAGCCAGACACGTATTGTGTCGACTGCATTCCTTATCCTTACCAGTCATCCGTCCGCACTCTCTCACACTCACACATGAACCAGAGACTGGCAGGAACAGCTCTGGGTCCAGGTATCGCGTCCACCGATGGTATGGTATGGTTTACAATCATGGCAACCATGACACTGCCATTGTAGCTGATTTGCATTACATGAGAGGCTGGTTGACTATTCGCCTGACGACAATAAATATTCTATCTATCCACCAGTTTGATTGCTGGGACCAAATCTAAGAAACCATACCCTCTCTTCCATCTCTCCAGCTGCCGTGTGACGTAAAGACAGTGAAACTGCCCCATCTTCATCCTATGATGAAATACTCACCGATCAACAATGGAATCCGTGGCAACGCCTGGCAACAAAAGTGCCACACCCAGGAAGAGGGGAATGTGGGCGTGTCAATCACTTACAGCAAGCACCCTCCTCCCTCCCTCCTCTCTCCGTCTTCCCCAGATCCCCAAAGCTCAGGTGAAATACGTCACATCAAGCATTTCAAACAAGTCCTTTGAAAATTTCCAGCTATTGTGTCACTGCTCACACTGCGTCTCCCCTCACAGGCAAAAGGCAGGTCTATCTTATCCCTGGGACACAGCACACTGAACTCCCCACCTCCTCCCTCACTCCTCACACTCTCCCTCAACTCCCCACCTCCTCCCACCTCCATCGCGACATCTGAACCTCTCGCAATGGGACAGGAGCCATCCCTGCAAGACCAATTACCAACTCCTACCTTAACCCCCTCTCTCCACCCTCGTCTTCCATCTGCCCCTCAATTAGAGGCTCGTCTCTGGCCCCGCCCTCTCTACAAGCTGTCGTAACCCACCGGAGAAAACCGCTGACTCAACAAACAACCCTGCGAGGCCACAGGATATTTCTCTAATGCCGTTCCATTCACACATCACTTGTCAATGAGGATCCAATCACAGATTCCAGAACCCTATACTTATTATCTGAGCAAATTCCTCTTAAATCATTACTTTTTAACCTGCACTGTCACCTCCACACCAGAATGATTACACGCACTCTAGTCACACGTTTTATAAACATATAATAATTTCTCAACAAAAATATGCTTTTCTATAGTAAAAATGAAAGAAGTGTAACGACATCCTATAATAACTGCATACATGAGAACATGATGGTGATTACTATACAATTACATAGTTACAGAAAGCATGAAAATTTGAAAAATGTGTAAGTTATATATGAATATTCTCACTAGTTCAGTAATTGCTAGTGCTCCCCCCAAAAAGAGAGATGCGATAATTTGTACATAATCTAGTACATAGCTCTAATAATGTGTTGTTTATATGCAGCCAGAGAGCCAGAGCCCCGGGTTACTAACGAGGGGGTGTGGCCTCGTCATTTTTTCTTGTGCTTCTTGTTGTCCTTTGACCTGTGGGAGAGAAGGACAGACGTAACAGTGTATGTGTCAACTACAAGCTAAGCCAACTACACCCAGGACAGCTGATTTTTTTCCAAGGAATAAACATTCATCAGCAGAACTAGTGTAACCTCTGAATAAGGGACACTTGTAAAAAAACAAAACTAGGGACTTTATCCCAACCCCCCACCCCCACACAGGATAGGATCCCACCTCATGGAGTCCTCCAGCTCCTTCATGTAGCGCTGGTGTTCCTCCTCGAAGAGCCGCTTGTCTTCATCAAACTGTTTCCTCTTTGTCTGGAGCTCCTGTTGTTGCTGCTTCAGAGCCAGCGACATCTGCTCCTTCCGTCGGTTCAACTGGAGTCAGGGAGAGAGGGGGAGAGGGAGGGAGGGAGAGAGAGAGAGAGAGAGAGAGGAGAGAGAGAGAGGAATGTTTGTGGAATGTTTGTGGAATGATGCTAATGCAATGTGCTAATAGTGTGAAATTCTTCTCCTCGTGGCAGTGGGTGTGGCCAAAACGCCAATGAATGTATATAGGAACAGTAATAATGTAGCTTGGCATGCAGGTGGGTGTGGTCTCTCATGTTAGGGGGCGTGGTCTCACGTCGGCCTCGATGTCTCTCAGTTTCTGGAGTTTTTCCTGGACCTTCATCTCAAAGACCTCCTCCATCTCCTGCTCCATCTTCTTCATCTTCATCTCGTGTTCTCTCTTCTCAACGTCAAACTGGGCCATTGGGTCCCTGGACACAGGGGGGAGGGAGGGAAGGGGCGAAATAACATGCACAACTTTTGAGAAACACATTTTGGGAAGTGTAAACCTTGTAGTTTGGGAGCCAGATCACAAAATTCTCCACACAAAATGTGACGTTAGTACAGTGGGCGACGAGTAAACACCAATCTTACTAAATTGTTATTAATTTGCCAATGAATCATGAATACTTGTTTCTCAGACTAATAGTCACTATGATTATCGTACACACTTCTATGTGGGAACAGTAGCACATGGACAGTACAAGCAGGAAAGTGCGTGATGGATTACAGCCCAAATCTGTCCAAGGAACAGATCTTCCATGCAGTGAGGTGTACCTGGAGGGAGGAGGGTCTGTGTTCTGTCTTGGAGTGAGAGATCCAGAGAAACCGGCCAGCTTCTGGCAGCGATAGTTCTCGTAGTGGACATTGTCTGTCACGTCTTTCAGGTCCTGCATGTGAGTTCTGGTGACCCAGAGAGAGAGAGAGAGAGAGAGAGAGAAAGAGAGAGAGAGAGACAAGTAGCAACTTAGCATACTGACATTATATTGCTGTGAAGCAACCCACAGAATTATGGGCAAAGTTATTTTACATTATGCACGTTACAGATCTTTCTCAACAGAGCTAATGCTTGTTGAAGAGTTTTCTTATTTCCCTCCCTCCTTCCTCCCCTGCCTGCCTGCCTCACCTCCCTCCCTCCTTCCTCCCCTGCCTGCCTCACCTCACGAGCATGTTCCTGAGAGTGGTGAAGTCACAGTGAGAGAGATTGTCGACCTCCGCCACTCCCCACGGGTACAGCCGACCTCTGACCTTCTTCCCACTCACCTCCACAACTGTATTACTGCCCACCACCGCAAACGGGATGGCGTCCTGAGTACGGATAGAGTATCATACCATCGGGCAACTGGACAGCCAATTTTAGGATGGTACTCAACAGTAAAACTGACAAACACAAGTAAAAAGTGAGACAGCGAGTATATAGTAAAACCTCTGAATAAAGGACACTTGATTCTGCCCCATACTAATGCATTAGTGGCTTCTCAATATCTGAATAAAGGACACTTGATTCTGCCCCATACTAATGCATTAGTGGCTTCTCAATATCTGAATAAAGGACACTTGATTCTGCCCCATACTAATGCATTAGTGGCTTCTCAATATCTGAATAAAGGACACTTGATTCTGCCCCATACTAATGCATTAGTGGCTTCTCAATATCTGAATAAAGGACACTTGATTCTGCCCCATACTAATGCATTAGTGGCTTCTAAATATCTGAATAAAGGACACTTGATTCTGCCCCATACTAATGCATTAGTGGCTTCTAAATATCTGAATAAAGGACACTTGATTCTGCCCCATACTAATGCATTAGTGGCTTCTCAATATCTGAATAAACGACACTTTCATGTTCCCAAGATGTCCCTTACTCAGAGGTTTCAGCAAAGAAAAAAGAAAACAGGGGAAAAATGGAAAGAGGGGAGAGAGAGAGAGAAGAAAGGGAGCTGACTCTAAGTTTCTTGTTGGCGGCCGCCTCCTCCTCGTCTCCCTCAGAATCAGGGAACTGGTAAATCTTGATTCCATTCTCGTGAATCTCGTTCATGATCTGGAGCAGTGGGTGTGGTCTAGTGAGACTGGGGAGGGTGGGGAGAGCGGGGAGGACTCACCGTTTTCTTGAATCGTGAACATTCTTCTGGTGTGAGGGTGTCTGCTTTGGCTATGACCGGAATTACATTCACCTGGTTGGGAGGGAGTGTGCGTGTGTGTGAGAGAGAGAGAGAGAGGAGAGAGAGAGAGGAAGGAGGGGAAGTGTGAGACGGGAATGCAATGATAGATGCCACACTGCCAACTCCCACGTGTGTACTAATGACCATTACTACTCCACTGTTGCTACACTACACACTGTCCCATAGTAGCCTCCACAACGTGCGTTGGATGTCCATTACTACTCCACTGTTGCTACACTACACACTGTCCCATAGTAGCCTCCACAACGTGCGTTGGATGTCCTACGGTGTGTGGTACAAGAGAGAGACACGTGCTGCACTAGAAGCATCGTGATTCCCACCTTCTCGCACAGTTCCTTCATGAACTCAATGTCGACCTGCTTCAGCCTGCAGCAGAGAGAGAGAGAGAGACATGAAAATTACACCAGACAGAAAGATTGGGTCCATAATTAGGGGTTTTTGGACTCATTAGCAACAGCCTAAGCAGCACATTCCCCCCTTAAGACCAACAGACAAAAGTCTCAATGTATGGGTATATATACATACATACGATGTTCCACACAACCTGCAACACATGGCATGAAAATAAAAGTGTTGTCTATTGCAGGCATTGTCCCATCATACCCATACATTAGGACTTTGTGCCATGCTCGGTATGGGATTGTTGGACCACATCCAAACCTTCTCTAGAACCTCCCGAAAAGCCACAATAATTGACAGAGTTGCAAGGTGCACATCTCACCCGTGTCCAGTAGGGGCAATGAAGTAGAGACAGACATGGACGCGACGGTCCTCCATTGCCTCTCGGATCACTCGACTCTCTGCGTTGAGAAACTCTTCAAACAAAGAGTTGACGTGCTCTGTGATTGGCTTCCAGCTAAGAGGAGGAGGAGGGAGGAGGAGGAGGGAGGAGGAGGAGGAGAGGAGAGGAGGAAGGGAGACCAGGAAATTGACATATTAACCAGCCTTCACTGACACACACACACACACAGAGTAACATGTTGACAAATATACAGGTCTCCATTTGGAATGTACACAGTTCTAGTAAAGCTGTACTTTAGTCAAGTTGTAACAGACATACAAACTCATCAAGCTCACACTCTGACATGGCACAAGTATTTTTCTGGGCTTGTAAACTATATACTCAGGAGGAATAGAGTTGTTTACGAGCCTTCAGCAAACAGGGCATGCTTTGTTGACAAATATATAGTTTCGTGTACAAATTGGTGCAGAATGAGGTGAAGGAGATATTGTACCATTGGCTGTTGTCCACCACATCACCGAATCCTGGGGTGTCAATCACCGTCAGCTCCAAATGTACCCCACCTTCCTGCACATGAACTGTTGAACTCCGAATCTACATACACAGAGAGAGAGAGGGAAATTTTAGAAATGTTGACAGAATATCCGAAGAGGAGAAAGAAGGTAGAGGGCAGTCCCACTCGCTGGGAGAACTTGTTAGATTATGGCTGAAACACGCAGGCCAAGAGGGAAAGAACTAACTTCTGTCGGAGTCAAACTCAGGTCCCGTGACTGGAAGTTCAGTACACTACATACCAAGCTCACACATGCAATACTTTTCAGTCAGAGAGAGGGATATAGTAAATTGGGGAAGCCCCTATAATTAATGCGATATTGATTGCCAACACTCCACGAATGTGGTATGCACAGAAACACACCAGAGAGGCATTGCCCAAATACCAGGCATTCCTGCACCCTACATCACTGCATTTACGGAGGGACGGCAGCCATATATGGACACTGGTAGTCACTACACACGCACACCCTAACGTGGGTTAGTTCTCTCTCTCTCTCTCCCTCCCTGCCCTCTCCCCTTGCCTTTACCATCCCTCTCTCCTCTCTCCTCTCATCTACATACCCTAACACAATACAGGCTACAAATTGCATTAGTTAGTAAGATGAGTAAACAAGCAGCTACAGAGCACACTTGTCACTGTGCAAGCTTCATCTTAGCAGGAGAGCCTCTCTCCCTAGTGGAGAACAATACCCCAGTACCAATTGCTATAGGCAGGGAGGGAAGTGGAGTACAATATTAACATACCTGAGTTGTTTTTGGCATTCTAATCCCAGAGCCATTGTAAGTACTGTCTTCATAGATGTCACTCATGAAGAGAGAGTTGATGAGTGTCGACTTGCCCAGCCCACTCTGACCTGGGGAGACCAGGGAACAAGGAGGGAGAGGAAAGGGAGAAGCTATTGTCATAAATAACTAGGCGGAGCCTACGTCCACCCACTGTACCAAGCCTACGACAGCAGTGGTAGACGGTTCACCATGCTAACCCCATCACAACGCTCAACCAGAGTCTACCCTCGCCAGCCAATGAAGTGTCAGTGAGATAAATGGGCCGTGACTGTCCTGAAGTGACCCCCCCAACATGAATACCCTCCCAGACGTGGCAACAGGTATATCGACTATACTGGGAATACACACCTTATAGCGATGGGACACTTACTGCCTACAACTGCCTCAGTTGCTAGGTTGTGCAAAGACTGACCCCTGAATGACTTTGTTAATAGTAGGAGAGAGAGATAGAAGGCAGGGGGAGAGGGGGAGAGAGGGGAGAGAGGAGAGAGTGAGACGTACCTACTACCATGAGGGTAAAGTCAAACCCTCTCTTGACGGCTTTGCGGAATACTTGGTTGGGGAGATTGGCATAGCCCACAAACTGCGGCGCCGCTTTCTCCTACAGAAACACAGAGAGAGAAAGAAATGGTGGTTGAAAAGAGAGGGGGGGGGGTGGAATTCTTCATGTGTGTATCATCTATACAGCGTAAGCTAAACTATAGGGACAGGATGACAATACAAGCTGGTAATGTACACAGCCCCTAGGACCTTTTGAGCAACACACAACCACTTTTGCTTGACAAAGTCACAGAATTGACAGCAGTTTACAAACACACACATTCAACTATCTCCCTTCTTTCTCCTCATTTCTCTATCACACACACACACAAATGCAGACGATATTATGTACAACTGGACTTACTGATTTTTTGACAACTGATTCTTTGACAACTGGACTTACTGATTTTTTGACAACTGATTCTCTGACAACTGGACTTACTGATTCTTTGACGGTCCATTTTTTCAGGAATTGCATTTTCGTGTGTTGAAAAGTTGGCAGTCAAAGGAGGAAGTAAAGAAGGGAGGGGGGAGGGAGGGGAGGGAGGGAAAGTTAATGAAGGCAGTTGTAATTAGCACAAAGTAGTGATGGATTCCAGGGAATTAATGTCACGAGAGGGCAGACAATTCTTGTTGGATAACAACCCCAACGTATCGTGAAGCCGTTCCACTGCACTTGAGGCTTATATCTTGCAAACTACTACTTGCACAGACTGCTAGCTAGCTGGCAACAATGGACTGTTTGTCTTTCGCTCTCTGGCTGCACTACACTGGATGAACCAGCTACACAACTTGGAGGCCGCTCAAACTGCCGCTTCTGGTTCCAGCAGACGAAAACCTACGCTCTCCTGCTTTCCCGCCCGACTAGTGGCAACAAGATCGCTATACATAGGGTGGGGCCCGCAAGTGTAATGAAATTCCCGCACCACGCATCAGCGATCCAGTGCCACTGGCTTTGCCTATATACATTGGCCACATGTACACATCCGTCAAAACACGGAGACTCAACACTCCTTAGCTACAGAGAAGCTCTCTGGGAACGCCAGCGACGGCACTAGAGCGGCTGCCGCGAAGACGTACTAGACGCCATAAAATTGCACCTTCTCCCCGCCAATTTCGCTCACTCGACATTCTTCTGGGGCTTTTTCTTTCCACGTGTCGGATTCAGGGGTCGGCTCGAGAGCTTCTCTGCTCTCCGTCTGGCTTTCTCGGGAGTCTTTTGCAGTTGATCCGTCTTTTGGCTTCTTGCTCGCTCGCTGGCCCGCCTTGGCACGTCACTTCTGGGTCCGTGGATTCAGCAGCTGCAAGTGTCCGTTCACCTCCGGATATCCGATAGTTTCCGCCCACCTCCGCGGTACTCCGTAAACTAAGCAACGGGTTAGGGTGCGGCTCGTGAACAAGCATGGAGCCTGCAGAAGTTGAATTTCTGGCTGAAAAGGAGCAGATAACGATAGTCCCCAACTTTTCAGAGAACAAACTCTACCTCATTTCAGTAGGAGTCACTCTTTACCCAGTTGCCTGCATTGTTTTGATAAACATTCCTCCGGCTTCGTCTCCAGGGGGAATTTGGTCCGTTCAACCCCTCCATGCAGACCAGAGTGCCCCTCTGGCTGGCAATCAACCTCCGACAGAGACAGAAGTGTCACATTGTCCCTCCCGATTGGCTCAATGTCGGTCAGAACTCTGCCCAACTAACAGAGTGGCTTATAATTCAAGATTCATACCTACCCCTCCATCTCAACCTCCCTCCCGTCTCTCTCGTCCAGATTACCTGACGGAGAAGAAATCTGAGGAAGCTGCAGAGTCTTTTTTCACGGCAATGCCTTCCCCGAACTACATGGAGGTGTCTTCACTCGTCCTCAACAAGTCAGTGGGGACAGCTCCAAGTCATGGCTCGCTGCCCCCACACTCTTGTGCTCCATTGAGACCCAGTGAACGATCTGACTGCAGCCGTAGGAAGTTTTTGCAAAGATTGCGTGAAATTTAACAAACCTTCCAGTGTTTCCGTACATTTTCCTTCTCTTGCCAGTTGTGCATAATATGCACCCACCCCTCCCTCTCTCTCTCTCTCCCTCCCTCCTCCATCCAGTGCAGCAGAAGATGTCCCAAAAGCAGATGAAGTGAGGACACTAGTGAAGGACATCTGGGACCTCAGACAGGCTAAGCTAAAGAAGGGAGTGGATCAGATGATCTCCCAACAGGAAACTTTTGCCAAGGTCAGGATCTTGAGAAAAACAACAACCCAGTCTAAACTCCTCATCATAGCTCCATACACCATGCACGTATAACTTTGAAAACTTGGTGGCTTTCTTTTCAGTTTCAGGGAAACATTTTCACTGGTTTGGTTAGAAATGGTCCCTTCAGCAAAATGTTTTAACAGAAGAAATTCACGGAAACTGTAAAAGTATTCTCCCTTGAAAGTTGCGCACCATGCGATGTAATAAGTGTAAGTGTACAATATAATATAGTGTACTTGGTGTTCCGCAGTGTCAGCGTTGTCAGTTGGTGTTAGCTCTCATGATTGACGGTACACATGAGAACACGTGGCTCCCTTTGTGCCAGTGTGAGAGAGAGAGCTACATACATACATACATACATACATACATACATACATACACAGGTGGTAGTATAGTGACGACACAGGTGCTGAGTCCTACTGTCGACCACTCTCTTTGTAGTCCTATAGTCCATTGGCTCGGAGGCTATCTGTCAAAGTGGATTCCACACTACATTAGGCTTGGGTGACTAGTCATGTGCTACAGTAGACACCTCTCACATCCCTTTCTCTTCTCTCTCTCCATCCTCTCCCTCCCCCCTCTCTATTTTCTCTCCCTCACTCTCTATTTCCCTTTCCCCTCCAGCTGGATAACCTAACACTAATGGAGATGAACTGCATCCGTCCGTTCCTCACCGCTGCTCTAGACCACCTCCACCTCCTTCACAACCACGCAACCAGCTACACCTCCAGCCAGGCCGACTGATCACATGACTCTCACATGACATTACTTACACGTCACGTGACCTATATGTATACACACACGGTCAAGTCAGGTCTTATGCACAATTCGTTTTGAACAAGAAATTGATTTCCACTTGATGATGGTATTTGTACTGAGATTGGCAGCAGTTCTCATAGTCTTGGGAGGGTCTTCCTGAGTTGGTGCATGAGCCAGATGGCCAGTGAGAGGAGGGAGACTGCCCCTGTCTGATGGGAGGAGGCGAGGGGTGTGGGGACGTAGGTCAGCAGTGTTGTGATCCCTAATCCCACCTACAGCAGAGAGGGGATCGAACACACATCAATTACACACAGCAGCAAGTTAAACGGTGCAATCAATTATTACATTATTGGGAAACGATCGAACGCAAGTGCAAAATTTCAGAGTTATGGTGTGGATGGCGCCATGACAACAGAAATCATTTTGTGGTGGACTGCAAAAATATTGTTGTTCCAAAGAGTGCACAAGTCCTACCTGCTGCTATATACACACATGTTAAGGGAGGAGGTATAACAGACCTGCACGAAGGCAGCAGCTGCGAGGAGGTTGGTGGCGAGTCTAGCTTGAGGAGGTAGAGGAGCTCCTCTTGCCAAGGCCCACACTCCCACCAGGTAGGCCAGGGTGGCTGTTCCCTAGAGAGGGAGGGAGAGAGGCAAAGACCAGCACCTACATGTCTATACATGCATGATGCCATAATGAAAATTGACAAGAGAAGAGTTTTACAGATTGTGGAATTGGGATCCCCAACTGCAAAAGTGCAAATCAAACTTTTGTGGATGACTTTAAATCTGTGAAAAGGTTTTTCTTTACAAATATTATTTCCCAGTCCATTGGTATACCAGCCAGCGGTGGTTGAACTGGACAGTGGTGGGGTTCTCGGTGATGTTGATAGGTTTTGGGGGAGAGAGAGGCGATGTCCTCCGGGACCCAGCGACCCGCCATCTTGGGGAATGAGTTGTACACCAGACCTGCGTCCAGTCCCGCCACAAACGCACCTGCACACACACACACACGCACACACACCATCATGCTGAATTTGGCGCCCTAGAAACAGCTAGGCCTGTCGTAAGTCATTCAAAATGTTTCATTTCACCCCAGATTGGAGATTAGCTAATTTTTAGGTTCCGTTAGTGTTGCTGAGCAAAACTTTATACTGTATCACCTTTCCTCAGTAATGAGTGGTGGATATTGCAGTAGCTGGCTGACCTGAAATGCAGGTGAGGAAGATGGTGGCAGTAGCTCCGTGGACCAAATGTCTCAGACGATTCACTTTTCCCACTGCTGGCTGTGTGACACAGGAGGTAAGGAGCCTATCACTGACACACCCAGTAAAGAGAGGGAGCTCACGGCAATGGTGGCCGGAGGGGCGAGGAGACCGAGGGCAGTGTACAGCATGGAGGAATAGAGGAGCAAAGCCAGACTGAGGTGTCCCGCTAGTCGATACTGGCTGACCCGGGGCACCTCGTCTGTCCCGGGTTGAATCCTGGACGGTCGACTCGCCAGTCCACTCTTTACCATATACCAGCCATACAGTCCCTGCAGCACGACATTCGAGATTGTCTTACTTTAACTTCAGTATCTTTATCCCTATATATATATGTACATACCAGTAAATAAGTAAGGTAAATTTACTGAAGTAGTGCACGAAAAATGTTGAAATCGCGTGTATATAATTTAGGCTAAAACAAGATAAAAAGTGGGGAAATTAAAAAGCTTTTTTACTGCCAATACCAGTAACCATAATCATACCTGCAATACAACGAGTACCGAGTAAGGCCCTGCTCGTTTCTTGAGTCTTGGAGTGAGCCAGCCGGCGGCCCAGAATGCTGCTGCTGGGACCAGCACTGCCAGCCCAGTGGCCCTGCCCCACATGCGGTGGAAATACTCCCATTGGAATATCCTCTTGTAGCCCTCCAGACTCAGGTCCTGGTGCACTCTGGAGGGAGGAGAGAACGACAGAAGTATTTCCTCTATCTCAGTTCAGATTTTCATCTTTCCCCCTATCTCAGTTCAAACTTTCATCTTTTCTCACTCCTACCTTTCTTCCCTCCCCTAAATGTTTGTCCACAATCACGACAAAATGTAGGCGAACCAACGTACACTTTAAACTCTGGGAACTGTTTGTATCTCTCAAACTCTGCCTCCCATTCCTCCTCTGAACGAGGGGGTCTCATCCCTTTGACGAGGTGCCACTGAGTCATGCTCAGTCCAGACTCAGTCAGACGTGTGATCCCACCAATAATGACTGCCCCGCCCACCATGACACTGCAACCAGCCAGCCACACTCCCAGAATTCTTCGTCTTCCCCATGACATCACCCCTGAATCTCCACCTGCACGTGCAGAGAGAGACAACAAAACCTTGCATAATTTCATCAGGCCATAACAGAACTCAAGGTACCGTTTCACACTGTATGACACACGCCACTGGCTTTACCTGCTGCATAGAGAGAAGTCTGCGAGAGGAGAGGCCAGCCACTGTCCCGCCATGTGCCCTAGCTACTGATGCACTCGTCCTCTGAACAGTGAGGCCCTGCACAAGTAGAAACACGTGCTGCTTCATTGGCTGCTAGCTAGCTCTTTGATCTCTCTCGCTCTCTCTACGAGTGGATGATCTTACTGCTCTAGAGTTGAACGAGCTGAGCATGCGACGCCACGACCTGCATAACACCGCCACTCTAGGAGCCGCCATCTTCTCCGCATGCGCGCAGTTCACACACATAATAAAATTTGAGTATCATTTTTCGTAAGAGAGTAGGTTGCAGCTATCTCCTTGGTGAGAGTGGAGTGACAACCAGCCCGCCAAGATCCAGATCCCTTCCCTCCTTTCTCTGGGAGAAAGACAGACAACATCATACACTAAAAACCTCTGAATAAGGGACACCTTGAAGACATCAAAAGTGTCTTTCAAGGTGTCTCATTCGAGGTATGTATCTAGAACCACAGCGTCCTTTCCTCATTCAGAGGGTCATTTTTCAAAGGTACCGCTGTATTTATGTACAGGGAGAGAGAGAGAGTCTTACTGCCTTGTGATGGAGCATCAGTTGTTTGAAAGAGAGAAAATCTGAGAAAGACAGCAGAAGGTCCAGCACCTCCTCCACCACCTCCTCCCTGTGCGTCCTGCGTGGGGATCATGTGACCAGTCATGTGAAAGTCGTGTGACTCTCACTGGAGGGAGTGGATGAAGGCGTGCATGTCAAAGTCGGGTATTCTGGCCTGCAGCTCTCTTTCCAGATATCCTTCTACCAGCTCTGTCTGCAACATACATAACATTACCGCATTAAATTGTTTAATGCGGTAATGTTCGTTTCGTTTAATGAAAGAAACGAAGTATTATTCCATTATTACAGAGCGTACTGACAATTTTTTGTAGAAAGTTGCATAGCCATGTTAGCTGGTAGCTCGCTAATCAGGAAAATTCACTCGACTCATGTTGCAGCTCACATATTGCTGAAAGATGTCGGTGTAAACAAACTTGTTCTCTTCTGACTCCTCGAAATGATGGCAGTGTTCCTCCAGAAATTCCTGCTGTGCCTGCGAGAATCCCTCCTCTGGGAGGTCACATGACAGTCACATGACCTGAGACTTGATCACGTGGCCTCTTACCTAGCAGTATGGTCTGGAGGTGTCCCATGGTGGTGTCAAAGATTCCAGCCTCTCCTCCCACTGACCTGTGGTACAAAGTCAGATCATCAGTTGCAGCAGGCTCTAGAAGACGATTTGCCCCCTACTTTCTCTCCTCATCACATCCTCTGCTCCTACTGCATCAATACTGATGGTCACAGGGCCATTCTCTACAGGTGAGGATGCGGAACACACGCTAGTAGACGAAGAAACAGGTGCCTTACCCGCCATATCCAGACCCTCCCTCTTCTTCTTTTGCGCGCAGCGCACATGCGTGTGCGAGTTAGTAATTTTGAATACTTTACGTATAATTGGATCGTATGAGCATGGCGATTTTGAGTTTCACTCGTGTCGTTCTCTTTTTGTTTACCTTCCTGCTCTCCTACTATGCCTACTCCATGTACCTCATCTTCAACCCAGCCCAGTGCACCAGCAAGAGCCGCGGGAGCTGTCTCCGTCCAGCCTACCCCAGCCACCTACCACTAGAGGTTCTAATTATAGCGCGCCACTTTTGACCTCTGACCTCCCCTCTCTCTCCCACAGTTATGGGTGTACGCGTCAGAGAAGCAGCTGGTGCAGAAGGAGAAGATGGAGCTGCTCTGGAGAGAGAAATCCCTCCTTCGCAACAGCTCCGTCACCAAGTACAGAAATAAAACCAAGTAGTTCGCATCATAATAATCTTCCCAGGGATGTGAACGTGACTCTCCCTATCTCCACTCTGAAGAACGGTTCACTTTATGCACATGTCTTTCTGACTCTGTCTGGTCGCAATCCTCTCCTCGCCAGCGACCGACCCTACATGTCTGTCTTCGTTGTTTCCCTCACCCGCTACACCGTTCCAAGGATACGACCTTTAACCTCCTCAGTGGAGGATCAGTAGAGGTATATAGGTCTACACACCATAGTGCAAAAATTTGTTAAACTCTATTTTTAGTGTACGAGAGACTAAAACTTGGCAATTCTAAGCGTCTCTGCCAAACAGTTGCTTTCCATCACTGCAGGACAGTTCTGGAGAGGTAACCAGTCTTCTGTCAGACCAGTCACTCACTGGGTCCCCTGGCTAGACATGCACTCTGTGGACCATGACTACCTCTTCCACCGATCTCAGGTCCCCGCCGAGATACTCCCCACCCTCAAGTGAGATTACATCATCACTCTGGTTCATTTTCAATGATCATTACATCATCACTCTGGTTCATTTTCAATGGTCTGAAATGATCATTACATCACCACTCTGGTTCATGCCAGGTTCTTCCCCGGGACCCCAGAGTACCTGCCCATTCTCTATGTGGACCGTCTGAAGATAATGGATAACAAGCTCCAAGTGAGCGCCTCTCCCAACTCTGCCTTGAGTTCTGTTGATTTGAGCTGAGCCGCTGTGGTGGAATGGTTACGCCACATCAGTTTATGGGTGTAGTACTACATGCTTTGCGTTGCCCTTGTTGACCTTATTTTTCCTTCTGTCTCCTCCTCTCTCTGTCGTGACTCAGCAAGTGTTCCCTGAAAACTCCAGTCTCCCTCTCAAGCTCTCTTTCTCTCCTGTCAGTATGGGACAGCTCCGTCTCTGGCTCTCCTTTCATCACTCCCTCTCCTCCCTACGACAACTCGGTGGGTGTGGCCTCTGTCTAATTAGTGGGTGTGGTCATCCCTCTGCGTGCAGGGTTCACGGAGAAGGAATTTGATGACGTAAAGGGAATATTGTTGGACACCAACCTCCCTCTCCTTCTACTCACTGTCTTCATCTCTTTCTTTCACGTGAGAACTTCATTCATTTTTGATGTGTGTTTTCAGATCTCCTGTGAACAGCTCCTGTTTGACTTTCTGGCCTTCAAGAATGACATCAGCTTCTGGAGGGGTCGAAGGTCAATGGTTGGCCTCTCTACAAGAACTAGTGAGCACATCTCTCCTCTTCTCCTCCCATCTTGCTCCCGCCTTTCATCTTTCGCTCCAAACTTTCCTCCTCCTCCAGTTGTGTGGCGGTGTTTCAGTCAGTCGGTGGTGTTCCTGTATCTGATGGACGAGAAGACGAGTCTCCTGGTCATCGTTCCCAGCTGGAATTGCTGCCCTCATTGAGGTACAGTACATAATACAGTGGTGGAGGACCCTGATGGGAAGACTGTCACTGCTGGGAAGATTGTATTAATACAATCATTTTCTGTGAAAATTGAAACTCCAAAACGGTCAGTCAGTGAGGACTATCACTCTGTAAATTGCTGAAATGTAGCGTTCCACCAGCTATGATATTTTGTGTATGTACCCGTGGTGTTTATATTTGGACACAGTTTTTCCTCTTTTCTACCATACATAGTTCTGGAAGGTGACAAAGGCACTAAAGATCAAGATTGTCTTCAGAGGTTGCCTACCACTGATACAGGTGACTCATATATTTCACACTATTATAGAAGTGAAGTAAATTTCAAGCTATAGAAGTTACTAATGAGCTGCCCCTCCCTCCAGTTTGGTACTAGAGGAGAAGCAGAGGCAGAGAGTGAAGGATACGACAGTGAAGCCATGCGATATCTCTCTCTACCTACTCTACCCGCTGGTCCTGGCTGGAGCTGTCTACCAACTGATGTATACCTCATTCACCAGGTAACACACCTTGTCTCTGACTAAATGATGATGACTCTAACTCCCTCCTACTCCCCTGCTCTGGGTGTTCAGCTGGTATTCATGGATCTGTCCATAGTCTCGTCAATGGTGAGTGTGTCCACTATATACCATCCCTCAATGGGAAACTTTATGTAAAATGGTAGAAATCTTTCCGGCAGAACCTTTGACTGTTCCTCTTCAAATTCCTACAAATCCACTAGTCTTTTACTGATGTTTCTTGCCCTAACACATGCAGGGGTGTATGCCTTTGGTTTTCTCTTCATGCTCCCGCAACTCTTCCTCAACTACAAGGTGAGAAAGATCTACCACATGATGTCATTGTGATGTCATTATTAATTTACAGCTGAAGTCAGTAGCCCACTTGCCGTGGAGAGCCTTCATGTACAAGGTCAGAGTCCAAAAAACATAACAAATATTCTCATCCCAAGACTAATGTGCTCTCATTTCTCTCAGGCCTTCAATACATTCATCGATGATGTGTTTGCATTCATAATCGTCATGCCAACGTCCCACCGCATCGCAGTCTTTAGAGATGACCTCGTTTTCCTCGTCTACCTCTACCAGCGATGGTAGGTCATGTGACTCTCACATGATGTCACATGATCTTCTCCAACTGCAGGTTGTACCCAATCGACCGCACCAGAGTCAACGAATATGGAGAGTCCTTCGATTCCGACACAAAACAGAAAAATGAGTAGTATAAAATCGAGGTCATCATGATGTAATCATTTGACGACAAGTGAGTAGCTTATGGCTACTACAACATAGACTCCGTCACGTCACGTTTCACTTGTATTTTGCACAGGTTTTGTTCTAGATTATCAATAGTGATTGTGAATATCAGTTTCACACTCTGCTCTCTCTAAGACAGGATGTTAGAGACTTCTCAATAGTTCCTTTGCCTCCTTTTTGGCCTTTGTGGATGGACAGACAGAGAGAAAGATCAATAAAATGATTCATAGTATGGAGCACAATCAACTGTGCTTTATATATTATTATATATACAAAGGTGTCCTTTTTCGGAGGTCACCACTGTAAGAGGACTGGATATTATAGCAAAATTAGTATGGGGCACAATCAACTGTGCTTTATATACAACGGTGTCCTTTTTCGGAGGTCCCACTGTAAGAGGACTGGATATAGCAAAATTTCGAAGTGGCAGTAAAAAAAAATTTCCACAGAAAGGGTGACATTAGTTATTAAATTTTTCCAGCCCACAGAACGAGATGGTTCACAAACTGCACAATTTGCCAAAAGTTTCTCCTCTGTTGTACATTACATGATGGTGTGGCCAGCTGGGAGTTAACCTTATTTTCGTCGATGTCTGACGTCTCTGCATCTGCCAGTTTCTGGAGCCACTGCTTTGCCTCACTCTTTCTCTTCAGCTGGATCAGAGTCTTACCCAGCCACAGCCAGTTGACTTTGAACCAACCTGGCTTTGCTGAATAGAGGAGAGAGAAGGAGGGGGGGTGGGCATTAGTCGTCTTGAACAAGAGACGATTCATTGTCTCACTTTCTTCTGCTGATTCAAAGTGAGTCAATGCCTACAAGAGGTCGAGGGTGTACATTACACTGGTGCTGTCTCATGTGATTGTCACATGACTAAGTGGCTGACCTCTTGGTAGGAGGAACTAGGGGGTGTGCCAAGGATGGCACTGGCCATCTTCCTCTGCAGCCATGTTACTGAAGCTACCTGGTAGCACCTGTAGCCATGACAACAACAACACTTTGTGAGAATACGGTTGACAATATGTTGAAAAAACAGTACCACCCATTCGTACAATACCAAGAGTTACCACCCAATACAGCATAACTACACAATCACATGCCTTCAATGTTTCCATTCGACAACAGCACACAACTGTATAGTGGATGATATTGTTATACACGTACCATCGACCGAGGAAATTCTTTACAGTACAGTCCTCCGGGTCCAACTCCATTGCTTTCTGCAGTGTTTGATGCAGGGCGAGGCGAGCGGGGTTAGGATAATTCAAGACGACATTGCTGCTCACCTGGAAATGCTCCCTGATCTTGTGCGAATACTCAATCTTGACTTTCATCCCCTTTATGTCTCCTACTAGTCGGTAGAATATTCCAGACCACTGCGGGAGGTGATTACTGCATTTTTTTTATGCCCTCGCAAATGCTCGCGAGTGACACCCACTCACTCCTCACCTTGTGGAGGCCGAAGTTGCGGTCTTCCTTCTCCAGTGCTCTCTTCCCGGGAGCTGCGGCCATGTCTACTATCTTCTCGGCCTCCTTGCTGTCGCCCGATTCCAGTGTCTGCTGCCCGAGACGGAACGCCACGCGGAGCAGGCGCCAGGTGAGGTCGGGATCCGCGCCATCTTCTCCCAGGACCTCCTGCAGGTAGTCCAGTGCCTCCTTCCACTGCTCCTTCTTGTAGAGCTCGTCTGCGTACTCCATCACCGCCTCCTTGTCTTCCCTATCTGGCTTCTCGCGGCCGGCCATCCCTTCTTGCTTACCTAGCTAGCTCGAGGTCAGCCACGCCCACAGTGCAATGTTGCGGAAATTCCGTTTCTTCTCTCCGCGGTCGCTAGTACTTGCACTGCGAGTATCGACGTCTCTCCTCGTCTGCCGTCCAGTCAGCGCCTCCACAGCAGTCTTCATGGGTAACTCTGGTCCGGGGAAAGAAAAGGTGCCGCTCTACACGGCGGCCCCCGAGCCCAAGGTGAAATTCACCGAAGACGAGCTGCGACAGAAACTAACGCCCGAAGAGTACCGCGTCACGCAGCAGAAAGGCACGGAGCGAGCCGGCACCGGTGAGCGTTGAGTCTTCCATCTCTCTTCTAGATAAAGTGGAACCTCCAACATTATAAGGGTCGCACTAGGTGTATAATTATACCGTATTCAGGGTATCCACTGTAGTATCGGCCCTGGCCTGCAGGTCCCAACCTGAACGTCAAGGAAGACGGCGTCTTCTCGTGTGTGGTGTGTGGAAACAGACTGTTTGAGACGGAGGACAAGTTTGATTCGAGCACCGGGTGGCCTTCTTTCTCCGATGTAGTCAGCAAGTCGAACAGCGTAGTTAGAGTTGTGGACGAGAGCCATGGAATGGTGAGAGAGTATAATACACTTGCTAGAGAGGTGTCCTTTATTTCAAGGGTCTTTATAAATATACTATCTCCAATGCTGTGGAAATGTCATGTCTCTCCCTCTCCCATGGTGTCAGAGAAGAGTGGAGGTAATATGTGGTCAGTGTGGAGCTCATCTCGGACATGTCTTTGAGGATGGACCGCGAGAGAAGACTGGTCAGAGGTACTGTATCAACGGCAGTTGTATGCGGTTCTCGGGGAAAGCTGGAGAGGAGAACCCAGAACCCCCACCACCAGAGGAGGCCAGAGGGGATGCTGAAACACCTGCTGCCAAGACTGACAATTGAAATATACCGCCCTCTGCACACGTGTGTCATTTCGTTTTAAACAATGGTGGAATAAATAAATATCTGAACATTGTGACCATAAATATTGTGCTTTACAACTGTGTGCTTCTATTCTTTGTAATGGAGTTTGGCAAACGCTGCGATGCGGTTGCAAGCCTCTTGGATTTTACTCTCTGCACACCCCAGCACTATCCTGAAACAGTCCTTCGTATTGAACGCCTGTATATTGTATACATGAGAAGGGGAATAGTATAAGGATCACTAGAAAGAGGAGAGAGAGAGACTGACTGGGCTGGGAAGACAGAACACACTCTGCTCAATGACGAGAGCTTTTGTGAACTCAACATCTGACTGAAACTCTGGGAAATGCTTCATCTCTATCACCACCTGAGTGATAAATATTGGAGACACACCACGCTCAGTCACACCCAGAGAGAGAGGAGGAAAGGAGGAGAATGAAGAAAGGAGAGAGGAAGAAAAGAGAAAGAAAGAAAGGAGAGAGAAAGAGAAAGATTGAAGAGAGAGAGGAGAGGAATGTGTTCCTGACCATGTGGTACATGGCAGCACGAGGCATGACGGGAAAGAGTCCGGGGGCGGGGCCAAGGATCTCCATGATGTGTAGAGCGTTCCTGTGGAAGAGGGAGAGGTTCTTCTGGTGGTAGTCCTCGGGGACCTTGGAGATGATGTCAGGAATGGCGGCCTGGACCAGAGTAGAGGGCCCCAGGACCTTGGTGGCCAGTCGTGCCAATCCCGGAATCACCTGTTGTCAGGGAAGATGTAAGTAAAACACATCAGCTATAATTATTCAAACCACGCCACATTGTACCTCATCTCTGAAGGCATTCTGTCTGTCATGAACAATGATCCATCCCATTCTCCAGCCTGCGACCATGTATCTAGAGGGAGGAGTTAGTCACATGACTAGAAGACAAGGCATGTGATGGTCACATGACCAGGACACACCTCTTGGAGAGAGAGGAGCAGGAGAGGATGGGGACAGTCTCGGAGAGAGAAGACAACATGTGGAATTCTGAACCAGGGAATGTCTGCAGAGAGAGAGAGAGATATACTTGATGTGGTCACTTATCTCATGTACAGTTTTGCCAACACTCCTTACTCGTTTTATCTTCAATCACTGCCTCACCATCCAGGCATATATCTCGTCAGCGATGATGGGGAGTCGATGTCTCTCAGCGATGGCCAGAATGTCGAGGAGGTGTTGTTTGGAGTAGCTGGAGCCGCAGGGGTTCGAGGGGTTGTTGACGATGATGGCCGCAGTCTCCGAGTCGATCTGTCTCTCCAGGTCAGCAAGGTCAGCCTCCCAACCTCTGTCTGCCTGCAAGCAACAGACACAGGGGGAGGGGCTTATGTACTATATGGAGCCTACCAAAACGTACACCACACCTCATGTGAAATCATTAACCTGCAATCTTATGTAATAAAGTACCTGTAGTCTGTAGAAGTGGCACTTGATACCGCGGGATCCGGCCAGACAGCTGTAGAGGCCAAACCCTGGACTGGGGACCAGAATGTTCTGTCCCGGCTCCGTCAAGACTGTCAGACACGTCTCGAGAGCCCCAGAGCACGCATTCGTCATTATCACATCCTGCCAATCAGACAGTGAGAGGCAAGATAATAATGATAGAGTGTGCAAGATACCGTGCCTTTAAAAATTAGAATTAACGTTGACGCATTGCTTGTCCTGCAATACAAATGCCCTCTCCACAAATTTTGCAGAGATACCAAAAGGTTTTCTCCCTCATAAGTTTCGAGAGAGAAAGAGATATGTATCCCAACCTCAGCAGTGAGTCCTCTAGGGTCCAGAGTGAAGGGAGAATAGAGGCGAGCTAGAGCTGCTCTGGTTTCAGGCAGACCTCGGGAGTGTCCGTAGCCTGTGCATCCTCCCAACTCAAGAACTTTCTTCACGGCCTCTGGCACTGCCGGGTGGACTGGTAGAGCTGTTGTGTCCCCTGAAGGGGTGTGGCATGGGGTGTGGAGAGGGAAAGAGAGGGGAGAGGAGGAACAATTTGCAATGTCAGTGAATGTTTTGACACGACTGAACACTGTCTTTACCAATGGAGAGCTTTATGAACTCGATGTCGGTTCTTCTGGCCTTCAAGGCGTCTTTGAAGAGGTTCTCTTCGAATCCACGGACGGGGTTGATGGCGTCACGTGACCCTTGCGACGCTTTCACAACCCAGCGGCCCTCTCTCTCAGTGTCCGTTGTCGCTGCCATCTCGTATCGGACGTATCTCCGTCAACTGGTCCACCTAGCCGCACCGACAACAACCAGCATCGACAAGAAACCGTATAATTGTAGGTGTGCATCGCAAGCATGTGATCGTGAGGAGTACGCGCTGCACACTGGGGCGCATGCGTATTGGTACTCTCCTCTTACCACACCCACCACCACTTGACCACGCCAGCCACGTCGTCAACAAACAGCGATGACTCCCGTAGCATCTCCGTTTTTCCTCTGCGTCTTGCACGCCCATGGCTGCTAGTTCTACGCTACCGAGTGAACCGCCGCCCCTCAACCACCCCGGGCAGAATGGAGGGAGGTAAGCTAATCCGATCTTTTGTCTGAGAGAAAGACTAAGCCAGAAATGTACACAGCGGGTGGTTGAGTAGCTGGCTTCCTTCCTGGCGACCCACATCAGAGGACCAACTTTGTGATGCCGAGAAGAAAATTCTCGACAGTAAGATCTTTCACTTTCTCCTGTGCATTCATGTTCTTCAGTCAATACTCTCTTCTCTCTCTGGTCCCCAGCTCTGAGTTCAGAGTACAGGGACTTGTATGTTCCAATAGGAGAGGGAGCAGTGATCAGGTGTCTGGTGATGGAGCCACAGGAGCCCTCCCTCCCTGAGAAGATACCTCTTGTCCTGATCCACGGCTTTGGCTGCGGCATCGTCCAGTTCTTCAAGAACTTGGACCACCTCCACCGCGACAGAAGACTGTATGCTCTGGACTTGCCCGGCTTTGCCCGCTCCACTCGCATCCCCTTCCCCGAGGAAGCAGAGGCCGTGGAGGCAGTGTTTGTGTCAGCTCTGGAGCGGTGGAGGGAGGGAGTGGGACTGGAGAGGTTTGTGCTGCTCGGCCACAGTCTCGGAGGGTTCCTCTCTCTCTCCTACTCCATGACCCACCCGCACCGAGTCAGACACCTCATCCTGGACGACCCCTGGGGGTTCCCTGAGCGATCTGAGGAACCTCATTCCCCACCCCCTCCCTCCTCCAGACCTTCCCCCTCCTCCCCACCTCACTCCAGAATGACAATATGGGCCAGAATCGGTGGCGTTTTCTTGTCGAAATTCAACCCATTTGCTCCAGTCAGGGCTGCAGGACCACTTGGTAGGTTAAGACTCCATAAAATCATATCGTTGACTTGAGTTGTGATTTTTTTTACTACAGGTCCTTATTTGTTGAGTAGTTTCAGAAGAGATCTAACTCAGAGGTTTGGGGAAGACTTCATGACATATGTGTACCACTGCGTGGCCCAGAACCCCACGTTAGTTGACCCACGCATACCCCAACTATTAGTCCTGTGGAGTGTACAAAGTGTGTGTGTGCAGCCAGTGGGACTGGTGGAACTATCAGTAACATGCTGCATGATTAAGACGAAAAAGCAACAAGAGTATTACGGTAGCTTTTCTCATTTCCATCTCCAGAGGTGAAATGCGTTCTACCACATGCAGATCCCAATTGGTTGGGCGAAACGACCAATGATCAAACGGATCGCTCCACCAAACCTCTCGTCCTCTGTTCCACTGACGTTTGTGTACGGAGCGAGGTCGTGGATGGACAGCAGTACGGGTGAGAGGGTCCAGGAACTCCGACCTCACTCCTACGTACAGGTCCACTACGTGAGGAGGGCGGGGCACCACGTGCACGCCGACCAACCAGAGGCCTTCAACTCTGTGGTGAGGGAGGTGTGCTGTCTGGTGGACCGGAACGAGGACACACAACCATGTCCTCATTCCGTTCCTGACTTTGGGAATGGGATAAATCCAGACCAACCGAACTAGTGCTATCGTCAGAGCAATACACCGGAGCATATTTATGTACGTACTATATATGTTTGTTGGTATTTTTGTATACAACATTATAATATAGAACAAGCACAATGCATAATTGGTATATAAGCGAGCGCAAGTGTGAAATATAAAATATAAGCGGTTTTACGAATCACGTAAAACAATTGGCGGTATAATAACAACTTTAATGGTTAAAACATGTACAAATGTGACATACACTATATACAATGTAAAACATACGATGGTGACACCCACCCCACCCAGCCACTGTGGGGGTGGGGTGGGGTGCTGGAGTATGGGGGGCTGCAGAGATCTCTCTAGCTATATATAGTTAGTTGGTTGGTTGGTTAGGACTGACATGGGTCCTGAATGACTATCAGCAGATACTCCTTGTCTGCAGAGACAGACAGACAGACAATAATTACAAGTTCTAAACACAACTGTACGTACAGCTGTTAGTAGCACATAGTTTTCGTGAGTTAACAAGGCGTAGACTACAAACGTCAATCCTGGAGAATTATGTGCCACTAAAATTGAGAGTGAGAGAGAACAAGAGGTTGGTTCTCACCAGGGGCCACCATGATCTCGTGTTTGTTGGTCCTGATCCGGAGGAACATGAGTTCGTTGCTCGGATCCAGGTCCCTCACTGTTGTCTTTGTCTTGGCTGCCAGAGAGTGCAGCAGCCCTGCATACTGCACTGTCGTAGCATTGTCCATTGTCGTCCTAATGGGAATACCTGCCAACAAAATCTACCATTACAACCTCCGTCTACAATACCAAACTAGTCCTGCTTCCCAGACCCTCTCTCCTCGCAACAATGATACCGAAACGCTACCAAGTTCTAATTAAAGCTCACCACACAGTTTCTCTACGTTGTGTATCGCTAACGCGGCCGTATTCTCACCATCTTGGTTGACAATGACGACTCCAACCACTCCGGGATGAGACTGGATCCTCTTCAACGACTCCTCCACTTCAGACTGCCCGCAGAGACAGAGACACAAGAGGGAAGGTTAGGAGAATTGTGCGCACGGATAGGTTTGTGAAAAAAAAAGTCAAGAGCACAATGGCGTAAACAAAGGGATTTTGGACCAATAACTACTCACCATTTTGTCTTCTCCGTCCGAAATCCGGTGACCAACCGCGGTTGCTATGGTAGCGTGGGATTTTCCCTGCCCCTTACTCTAATTAACGCACACCGCGACCCTTGCAGCTAAGGTTCTCCTCTCGTTCCCGTCTCACCGCGAGACTAATGTCCAGCAGAAAGAAAAGCAAGGGCAAGGGAGGAAGTGGTGGGGTCCCAGATGAGGCAAAGACAGAAGCTGGCTCGTCTCAAGTAGAGAATGATGTCGTGGGGGAGAACGGGGAGGGAGGGGGAGAGGTGGGAGGGGGAGGGTTGAAGGGATTTGTGAAGAAGATGGAGGGGAAGACCCACAGGATGGTGGAGATGAGGTTGGCAGTGGTGGCTGCGTGTGGAGTGGCCTTCAGAGTTCTCTTTTACGACAATCTGGAGAATGAGGGAACTCCGTGGAGTGTGTTCTCCCTCGTTGCTGGTGAGGGGAGATATTGAACTGTACGTATGCAGTGGGGCAGAAGAAAAGACATCAGTGGGGCGAAGGAATGGTGTGCTTCATTTCTAATTTCTCTCTTCATCAGTGGCAGTCCTGGTGGTGATTCTCTCGACGTGGTTGGACTATTTCCCATCTCGCCTCTCTCACCTTCGCCTCAGGTGAGCAGCTATCGTGTGTAGAGATCTGAACATAAAGCTTCTGTACATATGTACATTCTTATTAGAAATGAAAAATCCTCATCAGCCCCGTGGCGTCACAGCATTACCGTTAGTGTTGTTAGACAAAGTCTTGAATATTATTGAACTCCAAGTACCACATAAACATGTGTTTCTTTGCATCTCTCTCTCTCTCCAGGCAGACAGATGGGCAGGGGATAGCTCTGGGTTGTCTGTTGATTCCAACTGTACTCTGCTCCACACTCCACTGCTCTCTCCACACTGCCCCACACCACTCCGGTGAGTCCGCCACCATCGTTTCAGCAGTACTGTACCGTCTCTCAGTAGATTGCTGGGATAGTGGTAGTTCACGGATATTGATACATACATACATACATAGATAATATGTACGTTTGGACCAATGAAATTGTACAACTGGGAGGCTTTTGAATTTTAAAACTTTCGCCAATTATCTGTCTACCAAAGTTTCCACTGTATCTGTAGGTCGGGGTTCATTTGACAACAATATAGTATTGCTCTAATCAGCTAGTATATACCTACTCAGTTGCCCACTGTGTGTGTGTATCATACTAACGTGATGTAATGTAATGTAATGTCCTCCAGAGCTTCTGTCGGCCTACCTGCTGGTGGTGTGTGCTCTCTCCCTCCTCTCCCTCTCCTCCTCCCTCCTCCATTCCATCCCCTCCCCCAACAACATCACCGCCTACAACTTCCTCGCCATAGGAACGACCTTTGCACTCTACTACTGGCTCAACGGTAGAACTATCGTGAAACCTCTGAATAAGAGACATCTTTGGGGGTGTCGAAAGTGTAATTTTCAGGTCCCTTGGTAATGTAGTGTGAGGAAGAAACAGGTCTTCTTTGTAGAGAATTTGGAGGGTCCTTTTTCAGGCATTTCACACTTTTTATTGTGAGAAAAGCTACATATGTTCGTCTCTCCTCCTCAGTTCCATATTGGTTGCTGGGTCCCTGTGTGGCGGTGTACAGCTGCCTGGTGCCATGGCTCCTGGCCTCGTTCCCAGGGAGTTTCACTCTCTGTGAGGCCATGATGGTGGGTCAAGGTCTGTCCCTCTTGACCACCGACACAGCTCTCCAGATACTAGCAATCGTGAGCTCTCTCTCTCTCTTCCTTCCTCTCTCATTCTGAATAATCCTTTTCTGATCTTCTCCCAGAATGACGTGGTTCGTCTACCAGAGATGTTCCTAGTGCATCGTCATCAGTCTCTTCTCTTCGTGGAGGTGTGTCACGTGACTGTCACATGACCTTCACATGATACTACATTCCTCAGTTCCTGGTGTTTGGGGTCCTAATGTGCTGTGTGCTACTGAGTCCAGCTCTGTACAAACTTGCCCAGGCCAAGTGAGCGCTTAAAATTGAAATCTAAGTATATACATAAGCAAAACAGATATTCGTTGTTCGTTTTGGCTCTCAGACGCACAGCATAAAATATCTCTGTGTGATTATAATGGCGGAATAAAAATGCAATAAAACTACTCTACTGCAGTTCAAGTCACACACACACACACACACACACACTGTGTCTCTACTGCAGTTCAAGTCACACACACACACACTGTGTCTCTACTGCAGTTCAAGTCACACACACACACTGTGTCTCTACTGCAGTTCAAGTCACACACACACACACACTGTGTCTCTACTGCAGTTCAAGTCACACACACACACTGTGTCTCTACTGCAGTTCAAGTCACACACACACACACTGTGTCTCTACTGCAGTTCAAGTCACACACACACACTGTGTCTCTACTGCAGTTCAAGTCACACAACACACACACACTGTGTCTCTACTGCAGTTCAAGTCACACACACACACTGTGTCTCTACTGCAGTTCAAGTCACACACACACACACTGTGTCTCTACTGCAGTTCAAGTCACACACACACACACTGTGTCTCTACTGCAGTTCAAGTCACACACACACACACTGTGTCTCTACTGCAGTTCAAGTCCACCACACACACACACTGTGTCTCTACTGCAGTTCAAGTCACACACACACACTGTGTCTCTACTGCAGTTCAAGTCACACACACACACACACTGTGTCTCTACTGCAGTTCAAGTCACACACACACACACTGTGTCTCTACTGCAGTTCAAGTCACACACACACACACTGTGTCTCTACTGCAGTTCAAGTCACACACACACACTGTGTCTCTACTGCAGTTCAAGTCACACACACACACTGTGTCTCTACTGCAGTTCAAGTCACACACACACACTGTGTCTCTACTGCAGTTCAAGTCACACACACACACACACACTGTGTCTCTACTGCAGTTCAAGTCACACACACACACTGTGTCTCTACTGCAGTTCAAGTCACACACACACCACTGTGTCTCTACTGCAGTTCAAGTCACACACCACACACACACTGTGTCTCTACTGCAGTTCAAGTCACACACACACACACTGTGTCTCTACTGCAGTTCAAGTCACACACACACACACACTGTGTCTCTACTGCAGTTCAAGTCACACACACACACACTGTGTCTCTACTGCAGTTCAAGTCACACACACACACACTGTGTCTCTACTGCAGTTCAAGTCACACACACACACTGTGTCTCTACTGCAGTTCAAGTCACACACACACACTGTGTCTCTATTGTGTGTCCACAGGAACTACATGGACCACAAGTTCTGGTCTGGGACATTCATCCTCCTCTCCCTGGGAGTCGGGGTGCTGACTGTTCTGAGATGGCTCCAGACTCAGTTGAACGACACACACCCCATTGCCTTGGTGGTGGTGGAGACCTTTACCAGACCTGTCCATGTGAGACATGGTTTATACATTTGGTACATGCAGTTACGTTGTGTGTGTGTAGCTGGTGCTGATGCTATTCTGGCTGATGGTGACTGGTGCAGCTCTCGTCTTAGTGGCTGCTCAGAGCTCTGAGAGGACATGGTTGACCCCTCTCAGATTCAGCCAGTGAGCCACACACATACACACATACACATACTCACTCGTCTCTCTCTCTCTCCCTCCACAGACCAGGCTCTCTGTGGATGCGTAAGTCGTTCCATCTGCTGGCAGTTCTGGTGTTCCTGCCCAGCCTGGCCCTCTCCTCAGTCTACCTCTCTCTCTCCTCCTCCATCTCCCTCTTCCTCTTCTCAGCCCTCGAGGTCTGCTCCGTAACTGCCTCTGTTCTCACCTTTTGTGTTGAAATGATCTTCCATTCAGTGAATGGCTGTTCCCACACTAACATCCTACCTTACCATACCACACCTTACCTTACCTTACCTTACCTTGCCCCTCCCTCTATCTGTTAGTTTGTCTACTTTTAGGACAAATGCAACACATTATAAACTAGTCGATTGGAACTATTTTGTGGTGTCAACCCTGCTGTCTCCATGTAATAATACAATCAAACAAACCGTGTGCATGGCTTTGTGGAAGACTCGCTTCACTCACGATAATATTATTATTGCAATCTCCAGTTGTTCCGGTATTTCAAGATGTGGCCAGGAGGAGGAGCCCTCCACTCGTCTCTCCTTCCTCTGACTGACACCAGAGACGCTGGCTCTCTCATTCTCTCCCACATCTACCTCCTCCTAGGCCTCTCCCTCCCTCTCTGGATCTCCCCTCTCTCTCACCATCACAACGGTATAATTCCTCCGTCTATACCCCCACTATGCAAATTTATCACTTTTTGTGTTGGTGGTTGTTGTGTCCCCTTCCTCCTCTAATCCAGACACCAATGGGACAAAAGAAAGTGTCCTTGTTGGTGAGGTGTCCTAATTTTTTGTGGAAAGAAAAGGTCCGTTATTAGAAAGGTGTCTTCATTTCATAGAGATGCATCCCAGTGTACATATTAAGACTTGCTATCTTCCCTTCCTCTCTCTCCCTATGTGTCCATTGCTCCACCCACTCCCTCCATGATGTCCAGTGGGGAAGTTGTCACTCTACAGTGGAGTATTGTCAGTGGGAGTGGGAGATTCAATGGCAGCTGTGGCTGGTACACTCATGGGAAAGACACTCTGGCCTGGTATGTTCTCTTCGTGCGGATGAAATTTAGGAATTTCTGTGGAAACAAAACTGTCTAGTATTTTATTGCCTGTGTATATCACAGTGCCTAGGGCCTTGCTTAGATTAATGCCTCTAGGCCAAATGTTTCCAGTGAATACAATTTCCTGATTGGCAAATGGGGAAAAGTGTACGGGACCAGGTCATTTTACCAAAATATCTACCAAAAGGTGTAGTTTGTTAACAGTATGTGAGTGTTTCATGTGGTGTAGGGACAAAGAAGACAGTGGAGGGCTCTGCCATGTCAGTCCTCACTCAACTGGTGGCCGTGCTGGCAATTGTGATGATGGGTAAGTAATGGAACAACTCTCGCTTGCTGAAATACTACTCTTTTTCATTTTTACAGATCCTTACATTTCCATGCCGACACTAAGGGAGTGGGGCGTGGTGAGCGCAAGTGTGGTTGCCACGGCAATCATGGAAGCCTATACTGGACAGGTTGACAATCTGATAATTCCTCTCTTCCAATTAGCATTCTTTCTTTCATTCCTTTGACACAATTTTTCTTCAATTATTGATATTTATTATATCACAATTTACACACTGACCTATCAGAGACTGGATACAGATCACATGACACCAAAGAGAGTGCCATCTAATACTAGACAATAGTGAGCAACTAGACTTGTGTGCGATAAGCGAACTTCTCCACCCCCCTCCTCTCTCCCTATGGCTACTGGTCCCTAGTGCTTGAAGCGGCGGTAAATGAAGTAGCCAGCTGCAACTGCTGCCACGAGTACAAGAGCCGGGACTGCAAATCCTGCAGCTACTCCAACAGCTGCCTTTAGCTGGCTGTAGGAGAAAGGTTTTCAATTCTCGTCTTTCAGGCAATTTGTAAGAGATGGTGCTAGCAAATTACCTTGACGTAGAAGATCGTGGTGTTTCCTCTGACGGAGGGTCATCGCTCGCTATCCGGCCTATACAGAAACCGTCTCTGAGGCGAATAGCGTCATCCGAGTGCCCCACGTCGCGGAAGGGACTAGTGGCGTCTTTTCCTACAGAACATGGAAGAAAAGGGGGAGGGGTCAGGTGCGCAGCTAGCCGGCCGGCCAGTCACCTGCATTGTCTAGCAAGACCTCGTCCCCTCCTGGATGCTGGGGAGGCAAGGAGGGAGGGGGAAAGGTGATGAAAAATGGCGGGACGATTACTAGCAGAGAGCAGCCTCACGTACCTCGTCCACGAATTGCGTCACGTCGTACACGAGGCCGTCAATCACCACCCAGACGCCCGCCGACACAGAGTTGTGCTGCGCCACCTCGTCCCACGTGAACGTCTTCCCTGCCGGAGTCGCCATGCCGCTTCCACTATGTCCACCAGAGAAAGAGAAGAGGCAGCTTCAGGAGGCGAGGTCAGAGTGCTAGATATCCGTATACTTATTCCGTATACTTCGAATTTACTACTCCGAGTACGCAACGCTCATTTCTGTTCCGTATTCGCGGCGTTTACGGACGGTGGAATCACTTTGCCACTGACCGTGATGAGAAACAATCATAATACGAACTCCTAAGGAGCAATGCGCCCTATTATAAACACACATTGTCCCCCATATGCTATGTTGAAAAAAGGTATGCATAATTTCTGTAGACGTAGGCGACCAAGAGGACCAGAAACAGTACAATGAGACCTTTCGTTGACCAGCTGGACGGTTCTTCCTTACCCCTGCTGGGGGAAAGGGAGTAAGGAGGGGGGAGAGAGGGGAGAAATATAGATACATTAAACGATTATTACAGCCTCACCATGTGCAGCAAATAGACACAAAACTCAAGAGAGTGTGCATTGACAAGCACGGTCCAAGCCAAGAGACAAATCATCATTATCACTGCCACGACAACACACACCATCTCACCACCACACCCACACCCTCCCGTGTTCCTCTCACTTCTCGCTAGCTGTGCTGGTGGTCTTGGTTCCTGCTCTCTTCGGCTCCCAACCACCTCGCCGATGAGGTACTTCTTCTGTATCTCCTTCGCGTCAGGCGAGTGGCCGACGTCATCAAATGCCTCAGTTGCATCTCTGCCTGCAGTATAGGGGAGGGGAGGGGAGGGGTTTTATACACACTATCATCAGTTGAGGCCCAGTGCCACATTCATACCTGAATGCTCCATCATTACCTCTTCGCCTCCAGGGTGCTAGAAGAAAAGAGAGGGAGAGAGAGGGTTAGATGGACTAATTAGCAAGTCATTAGCTACGGGGTCGACTGACAAAGGGGAGTAGACAGCTAGGTTTAGGGGAGCACCTCGTCTAGAAAGTCAGTCACATCGTACACTTTGCCGTCCACCACGATCCACAGGGACTCAGAACTGCGGTGTTTCTTCACCTCTTCCCACGTGTACTGCTTCAGAGACTGGTCACCCATTGCTAGGCTGTGCTGCTGAGGATCGCTCTAGCCCTATAGATCATCAGCCCACTCTAGCTCCTTGCGCGCGCAGCTAAACGTGACCTTTTTGATGCGCATGCGCACAGACACAAACCTTCATCTTTCTGTGCAACCCCCTTCGTGCTCCTACTTCTGTCTGCTATTGTATTATTGTTGTCATTGCAACGGGAAAAACAGTACACATTGAAAATGAATACTGACGATAACAGTAAACACGGATAAATAAAGTGAAACAAACATTAGGTAGATGCTCTGCAGTATGTCATGTCGGCAGAAGAGTCCACGATCTCCAGTATCTCTCTGACAGTCTCATTGAACTCCTCTGGCTTGTGAGCGTGGACGTGGTGAGTAGCATCGTCCACCAGGTAGGTCCCCACGTAGGAGCCCTCCGGCCGAGCCCCACTGAACAGTTCCATCACTGACTTGTCCAAACTGTACACCCACGACCTAGCCCCATAGATGATTGACACCGGGAGGTCGGGGTTCAGATCTGTTCCTATCCGATGAAGCATTGGTCTCTTGGCCCAGGCAAACCGATGCTGCATGCAGAAGTACCCCTCTTCACCTCTGGAAGACAAACCATCACAACTGACATCACAACTATCTGCCACACTGACACTATACAGTGGAACCCCTCTCTGAGAACACCCCAGAATGAGAACACCTCTCTATCTTTCTTTCCCCAAGAAAAGCACAGGTTCTTGCAACAAACTCCTGAAAAAGGGACACCCTGTCTACTTCCTTCCGTCACATTGGTATCTGGATTAGAGGGGTTCCACTAATGCACAAAGGGAGGCCACTCACGTTGGATTCTGAACATTGCTGTGGTAGACATAGTCCAGAAAGTCTTCCCTGAACACTCTGCCCAGATCTCTCCGTGACCTTCGCAGAATGTGTGGTCCTGGGGCGAGGGGGAAAAGAACGAGGGGAGTTTATTCATCATGAATCAGTTGAGAGGATTTGTTTCCGGGCTACAGCGGAACACTAGCATATAGCTTCACTAATACTGCATTACACGACTGCATTCCATGCAACACATGTAGGCAATTAGTAGGAGTCCCCTGCCGGAACACGGCTAATTCCGAAGCCTGTTTCAAACAGTCATGTTTGTGAGCAATGTTGACAGGAAGAGTTGGAAATGTATACCGGGATTATGTAATGGTGCATACCAAGTGGTCCAGTTCCACGAATCCAGTCAAAGGGCTTGAATCTGGAGGCAATCTTCAGGATGCTTCTGAACAAAAGTGAGTACTTTTGTTGGAGTTCTTCCTCAGCGATTGGGTCCACCAGTCCCCAGGGGTCGTCCAGGATGAGGTGTCTGACTCGGTACGGGTGGGTCATGGAGTAGGAGAGAGAGAGGAACCCTCCGAGACTGTGGCCGAGCAGCACAAACCTCTCCAGTCCCACTCCCTCCCTCCACCGCTCCAGAGCTGACACAAACGCTGCCTCCACGGCCTCTGCTTCCTCGGGGAAGGGGATGCGAGTGGAGCGGGCAAAGCCGGGCAGGTCCAGAGCATACAGTCTTCTGTCGCGGTGGAGGTGGTCCAAGTTCTTGAAGAACTGGACGATGCCGCAGCCAAAGCCATGGATCAGGACAAGAGGTGTCTTTTCAGGGAAGGAGGGCTCCTGTGGCTCCATCACCAGACACCTGATGACTGCTCCCTCTCCTATTGGAACATACAAGTCCCTGTACTCTGAACTCAGAGCTGGGGACCAGAGAGAGAAGAGGGGGAGAATAAAACGTTGAAAAATAAAGAGTAATGGGGAATGCTTACAGCTCAAGATGTTTTTCTCGGCCTCTTCAAGCTGGGCCTCAGAAGTGGGTCGCCAAGAAGGGAGCCAGTCGCTCATCCAACTCCTTCTCCTAGTAAGAGTAAAAGACAACGCTATAAACACCGTATATACGGTAGTGGAGCTGCAGAACGAAGGTTACGATCGTAAGCTCGCAGCAAACCGCGCACACCTTTCGCCGTTGATCGACGGAACAGTGGTTTCTGTCGCTGCGCAAGACATTGGTAATTCCTCGATTTTCACAGGGAAAAAGAGACGACGACGCTCAGATTTATGCAGCTAGTATCATTCGTCGAGTCGTGCTGCCGGCGAACATGTGATCCGGTTAACGACATTCAGCGCATTTTGCAACGCACGCCGGTGGACATGGTGTGTGACGCAACACTGATGCACACACATATACACTGAGCACTCTATGGACACACATTTTCCAAAGAAAAAACGAACAGCAAACAATCAGTTCTAAACTGTTGTGGTTTTCAGTTCAGGGATCAGGTCTGCAGAAGAGTCCACAATCTCCAGTATCTCTCTGACAGTCTCATTGAACTCCTCTGGCTTGTGAGCGTGGACGTGATGATTAGCATCGTCCACCAGGTAGGTCCCCACGTAGGAGCCCTCCGGCCGAGCCCCACTGAACTGCTCCATCACTGAATCGTCCATGTTGTAGTTCCAGGACAAGGCGCCAAAGATGAGGGAGACGGGGAGGTCAGAGTCCAACTTGTCAGACATGCGAGGAACCATTGGTCTCTTGGCCCAGGCATAGTAGTTCTGCAGTCTGAAAAATCCCTGTTCGCCCCTGTAGGACAAAAAATAGTTAAGATCCCACCCTCAAATTTCCACTAAGAAATTCGATATCTTCAATCAATGTAGTATATTTAAGAGGCAATTTTGAGAGGCTTCTCTGTCAAATTTTGAGGGCATATATAGTCGGGCAACTAAATTTACGATGGTTTTCAACTGTGCAGTGGCTATAGAGATTTGTGTTTGTGCAACTCACGTTGGTTTCTGGGCAACGTTGCCATGGTAGAGATAGTCAATGAAAGCATCTCCAAACATTTCCTTCACATGAGGTAACAGGGTTCTTGTGATATAGAGACCTATACAGGAATATCAACTGGCATGCATCAGATGGCATCTCGAGGGACATACCTAGGGGACCGCTTCCTCGTGCGAGGTCAAAGGGTTTCAACTTTGTAAGAATGCTCCACTTGCAGAGCTTGAAGACAGTGAACTTGTGTTTGAGTTCTTCTAAAGGTGGACGGTCCACCATTCCCCAGGGGTCATCGAGGATGAGGTGTCTGACTCGGTGCGGGTGGGTCATGGAGTAGGAGAGAGAGAGGAACCCTCCGAGACTGTGGCCGAGCAGCACAAACCTCTCCAGTCCCACTCCCTCCCTCCACCGCTCCAGAGCTGACACAAACGCTGCCTCCACGGCCTCTGCTTCCTCGGGGAAGGGGATGCGAGTGGAGCGGGCAAAGCCAGGCAGGTCCAGAGCATACAGTCTTCTGTCACGGTGGAGATGGTCCAGATTTTTGTGGAATTGTGCAATTCCTCCCCCCATTCCGTGGAGCAGGACAAGAGGTATCTTCTCAGGGAGGGAGGGCTCCTGTGGCTCCATCACCAGACACCTGATCACTGCTCCCTCTCCTATTGGAACATACAAGTCCCTGTACTCTGAACTCAGAGCTGCAAACAAGAGAGAGAGGAAAAGGAGACAGAATTATTCCCTGCATCAAGTTTATCTGCAATCACAAGGACTTACCGTCATTCAAAATTGTCTTTTCTGCAGCAGCTAGCTTTGCCCTGGAGGCAGTTTTCCATGTAGGCAGGGAGCCACAAGTACACTTCACTTTGCTGGAAAACGAAAGTCTAATCATTTCACAAGCTCTCTCTCTACCACAGAAGTAGTTATTTTAGCCATATTATACCTCTGTTCGTCCATGGCTTGGATTTTCTTAGGATTATCTGCAGCCAATGACATCCTTTGTGCAGTTTCTTGTTTTGCTTGCAGGATCGCTTTCGCACGGCATTTATATACAGGAGTTGTGAAATGCAATCAGAAAGTCGACCTGCGCACGAGTTCAACCAGCACTGCCGATTCCCATGAAAAACTTAGAAGTGACAGTAATAATATGCCACGAACTGGTGACTGGCTTCATGAACTGTTCTACTCTAAGTCTGCATGGCTGGTGGGGCGAGCAGGGTCCCACTCTGGAGTCTCTGTCCCGGAGACTGTCTCTGGCTCCACGTCTCCTCCGCTGTCTGCCAGAGAACACGTCTTGTTCACCAGGTCATTGAAGACTCCCGGTTGGTCCGCATGAACGTGGTGACCTGCTCCAGACACACGGTGAACCGCCACATACGACTGGGGTCGAAGTTCACTAATAGCCTCTCCCACACATCGTCCGTCGCTCACGGCTTTCATCCACGACCTTTGACCCAGGATGAGTGTTAGGGGGACACGAGGATCCAGTGTCTGGGCTAAACGAGGCAGCATCGGTCGCTTGGCCCATCCATACATGTACTGCATGTGGTAGAATGCCTCCTCGCCCCTGTAATCAAGTCATAATCACTGACACCTGAATGGCTTCTGGCTTACGTTGGTCTCTGAACGTTGCAGTGGTAGACATAGTTCATGAAACTATCTCCAAAGTTTCTGGACAAATCTGGTCTCGTTCTCTGGATGACATCACTCCCTATTAACCCACAAATCACCTCACTAACAACAGGGGTCCCCTAATCAGTCACTCACCCCATGGTCCAGCCATTCTGACTGGATCAAACGGCTTCAACCGTCCCACCATTTGCCAGAACCTCTTGGCAAGAAACGGGAACTTTTTCTTCATCTCCTCTTCGCTCAGTGGGGGAGAAATACCCCAGGGGTCCACCAGGATGAGGTGTTGCACTCTCTCGGGGTGTCTGAGGCAGTAGGAGCAGGCCAGGAAGGCCCCGAGACTGTGCCCCAGCAGAATAAACTTCTCCAGACCCAGCACCCTGCGCCAGGTCTCGAGATGAGCGACCATCTCGTTCTCCACAGCTGCTGGGTCAGAGGAAAACGAAACTCGGGTGCTGCGACCGAAACCGGGGACGTCGAGTGCCAGCAACCTCCGCTGAGAATGGAGGTGGTCCAGGTTCTTGTAGAACTGGAGGAAACCGGCGCCAAATCCGTGGATCATTACGAGGGGGTACGCCCCTGGAATTGGCTGTGTTGGCTCAACCTCGAATGTCCGGATGACTGCTTCTTTGTGGATTGGGACGTATAGATCAGTGTGAGGAGAGCTAACAGCTGGGGGGAGAGGGTCAATTCTGGGAAGGGGAGGTGGAAGTGTGGGCTAACATTTCAGGACGTCCGCCTCTGCTTGCTCCAGAAGGGTTTCCGAGGTTGGTTTCCAGGAGGGAAGCCAGTCCAGCAGCCGAGACCATAGAGATCTGAGAAAGACGGACGTCCAATGGCCGCAGTTTTTGCTACAGAGAGTATCTTAGATTGCGTGTCTCACTGTCTTCCGTTGATAGGGACCCTGGTGGACTGCAAACTCTCCAAAACAGACTCAGTACTTCGAGCCATCGTCAGTCGTCTTTTTTTCGCGTCCTGCACGGGCTTTGTGCGCATGCGCAAATTAGAGGTGTGAGCCCCGCCTACTTTATGCTTCGCGACGCTTTCGCAGCCGAGGCAAGACGAAATTCGTTGGGTGAGAGTGGAGCCATGTCTGCTAAAGAAGCGAGTAGTGGGAGTGAGGCAGGTGAACCGGGAGCTGCTGCAAAATCCGCCAGGAAACGGATCAACTTGGAAGCGTTGGGTCGACAGGTATGTCGGTTTAGCTATCCCTCTTGAGTTACACTTGTGGACGTCTCCCACACGGTATAAAGGCCCAAATGGAGCGTATCTTGCATAACAGAGAACGAACTCACCTCGGCGGCATGGACATTGCCGAGCATCTCGTTGTAGATTGGGAGAAAATCGGGGATCCGTCTTACCAGAAGCTGATTGTAAGTGTATCCGCGCAGTGTGCGAGTAGCTATATAGAATCTAGCTGCGCTTTTTTGAGTAAACAATAGCAGTTTCCGCTGCGGGCTACCCCAGAGTCAGTTGTTAAATAGGATAGGAAGTGAACTCAAGGCCGTGGGTGAGGTCCGGCCGGCGACAGAGAAACTATGGCGAGCGCTAGACCCAGCAGTACCTACTACGCCGAGAGCTTAGAAGAAGTGAGTCAATGTGTCCGCTGTCTACTTAGTAGCTAGATAGCTAGCCGCCTTCTAGCGCCGAAACCGGAGATTTGTCGACAATTTCTAGTTCCCCACACAGTCGATCTATTACTTAGATGGCTCCTCAAAGTGGGAAAGGACGATTTTCATCACTACTCGATCTAAACTCTACAGTAGGAGTTGAGGTCTACGTTCTGTCAGTTTGTGTATCTACATACAGAGTTCCATTGGAGACGTCAGCACTCTACGAACCAAGCTTCAGTCGCGGAGAGCCCAGCTCAACGTAGAGATAGAGAAAGAGGACAAGTTCCACCAGGGGTCTAAGAGACTAGTCCGGGCCTCCAGCGACCACAAGGCTCGAGACCAGGCTCAGCTGGAGGCAAGCTTTGCTGAGTCAAAGATACGAGTCCACCAAGCTGAGCTGGCCAAGATCAACAGCTCTCTACAGGCCTACCAGCAAGAGGGGTATGAATTTTTCTGTGTTTTTGCAGTGTGTGTGCTTTTGCTTCATCAAGCATATTCAGTTAATGATACCCAATATGGGACCCACTTACTACCGATAATCATCTGCTCTTTCAAGACTCTCTCTTTACTGAACACACAGCCTGCGGAGCTCCCAGCCTCCTCTCATACCGTTTGCCCTGAAGACAACTGCCCGGCTGAGTGTGGTGTCGTCCTTTACCGACACCATCTCTGGCCACTACCACATGGACCCTGCTGCCCTCCTGGACCAGATCTACGAGTTCCAGGAACTCAGATACGTTAGTAAACTGACTCTCTTCCTCAGCTACCAACAATCTTCTCTCTTCCTTTTCTCACTCTCTCTCTCAGTTATGTAACTCCATAGCAATCATTCTTCTCTCTCTCTCTGTACTTGGTCTTTCTCCCTCCTTTCTACTGTGTTAGTGTGTTTTCGCCTTCCTTTTCTTTCCTTCTCTCTCTCTCGCAGGTGTGTTAGTGCAGTGTCCCACTAATTGACGACTAATGTATTAACAATCTTCTCCCCTCAGGCGGTGTCGAACGTGACGAGAGACGAGAGTGGGGTGGAGTCACTCCTGGAGTACCACAATCAACTCCAGTTAGTCAGCAAGAGACTAATTCACCCCAAACTCCGCCACGGCCTGGCCTTCATCTGGTGAGTAACTCTTCACTCATCGTGACTCCTCTGCCATACATACCAACAAAACATACCAAACGCTATTAGGCTATCACAACGTTCCACGCTCAATCCGTTTATGAAAACTTCAGAATTCCGTTATGACAGCAGCTTCCCTCCTCCGCATTACCCCAACAAATGATTCTCTCTCTCTAGTGTTGTATGCAGGTATGACGCTATCAATGGTCTACCTGCTGTCCAGCAAAGTGTGACATTTGAGAAGGTAGAATAATATCATCAGCGGTTTCTTCCCTCTGACACTATTACTGTCTGTCACCTGAACTGCAGGCCTGTATTATCTTCAATATAGCAGCTCTCCACAGTCAGATGGCCGCACAAGAAGTAAGTGACATTGATATTTATCCTCTAGGCAGTTTTATCAGAGATGTATTATACAACTGTTTTTGACAGGATCGCTCCACAGTAGCGGGGGCGAGTCGAGCAGTCGCGTCACTAGAGAAAGGAATTGGAGCCCTGGAGTACATGAAGGACCGCTTCTCAAACTCACCAACTCTCGACATGTCTGATGAACTTCTCTCCTTCCTCTCTGACCTCCTGCGAGTCAGTCAGCTCTGTCTAAACCCTCTCTCTCTCTTATCCATCAACCCACGGAGTGCGGTAGTATTCATGAGTCTATATCACTTTCAATAATGGAAGCGATACTCTGAATAAGGGAGGGTACATCGAAAGTATAAATGTCCCTTGTACGGAGGAAATTTTATATAATCTAAATATAAAGTTCCTTGTATCTCCAGGCCCAAGCGCAGGAGGTGCGCTGGGAGAGGGAGCAGCTGGAGATGAAGCGGACGGAGCCATCCACCATCATCGACGCAGCTCACAAGACAAAGAGTGTGAGCCATGGCACTAATTTCACCAGATGTCACATTAACCGCTAAATTAGTTCTACCTGATCTAATTTCATACCTGTGGTTGATTTCTGTTGCACAATCTCATCACCCCTCCTTCTCTCCCTCCCTTCCTGTGCTTAACTTCCTTCTTAGTCCATTCACTTGCTCGTGTCTTGTCATGCAACAAATTACTTCTAATTCCAAACTCGTGGTTTGCCAGTGTCGTCATTCTCTCTCCTCTCTCTCTCTCCATCGGCCAGGTGGCAGAGTGTTATTCCCCACTCAAAGAGCTAGTGGAAGACAACAGCATGAAGGGTTACCTGCCAGAGTGCTGGATCAGCTATGTGAAGGTATAGTATACTGCCCCAGCCCTGCCAGGTCATCACAGCTGTGTGTGTGTGTGTGTGTTGGCAGGTAAAGGAGGCCCACTACAAAGCACTGGCTCACTATTACGCAGCTCTGGCCCACGATCATCTGGCTTCTGCCTGCAGTGAGCCACCAACTCTGTACTTCAAAAATCACATTTATAAAGATTTACCATCATTGTTGTTGTTGTCGTCGTTGTGTGTGTGTAGAGGGGGAGGAGGTGGTGGGTGAGGAGGTGAGAATGGAGCTCAAGTTCCTCTATGCAGTGGACAGTGAGGAGGCCCAGGATGCCATCACTGCCAGCAACCAGCAGTACCACGTCGGACTCGGTGAGTATCTCCCCTCACACTCTGTTCTCCTTCATATATCGAAATCATTCCACTTTCTCTCCCAGCTAAAGCCCACCTGAACTGTGCAGTACTTGCCCACGAGTACGCTCTCAAGTACAACAGCTACAGTAGAGATCTGTCAGACATCAAGCCACTCTGTCAGGTCACCTACTCTACGTAGCACAATGCCTTTGTCATGCATTGCCATAAGCTCCCACAAAACTCTGCATCCAAACACTGCCAGTTGAAAAGTGAAAACAGTGGAAAGTAGCAAAGTCGATATAGAACTTTATTAAAGAGTATTCTACAGTAAGTATAATTTTACTGTGTACAAAATGGCGTCATTGGTTCAGATGTTGCAAGATGCTGCGGCCAGGACGAGAGCCAAGAAGGAAGAGATGAGTGAAGAGGAAGGAGCATCCATCATGGCACCTGCCATCAAACGTGAGGCGTTGTAGCAAGAGACGCACTCACAGAAATTAGTCTCGTCGTCTCTGCTACACAGCCTCAGAGATTACTCTGAAGCCAGTGTTTCCAGAGTTCTCGTCAGTGGAGGTCGAAGACTTGTTCCGTTCTCTTGTGAGCACACCTCTCTCTCTCTCTCTCTCTCTCTCTCTCTCTGTCTCTGTGCCAAACTTTCTGCCTCCCTCCCCTCCCCAGGGTCCTCTGCCAGCTTTCTCGGCTGAGAATTCGTGGTCTACTCCGCGAGTACTGACTATCCACAGAGGGAAGGGTGGACTGGGCCTCTCGCTGAGAGGTTCACGACCTTCATCTGTGTCTGCAGTTGAAGACGGCAGTCCAGCTGAGGTCTCACACACACTGGCACACACCACCTGAATCTCTTGAGCAAACTCTCTCTTTCTCAGGATATGGGAGTGTGTGTTGGTGACTGGGTACTGGCAGTTGACGGTAGGGACGTCAGATACAAGTCACACAACGATGCAATCGCCATAGTGACGGACTGTGGCGATGAAGTCACTTTTGAACTCGTTACACCCACATAGCCAATGTACCCCCTCCCCTACCACCATTTTTAGCTACAAATGCATTATGTCAAGTCGTCTGAAGATGACGACGCAGTGTTTCAAAGCGCGCATGCGCACCAACACGTTGGAGGTGGAGCCCCCGCGCTGCATTGCTGGTCATCATGGCAGGACTTGGAGTGGTATTACTGGCGTCCCTCTGTCTTCTACCGACTCTGCACACCATCACACCAACCCTCCAAAGACTCTCCACCGCCACTAGACCTTCGCCCAGCCGGCCTGGAGAAATATGGACCAACTGCAGTGAGCAGCAACTAGCTATTCTGAGCCGTCGGTAAATTGATAGCTACGAGTGTTTGTTGTGGTGCAGGTGAGGTAGGAGACCCGGTGGACATAAAGAGTGTATCCATCTACCCGTACCCTCCCAAGATGGGACATCGCGTGTCTCTGCTGGTTGATCTGACACTCAGTAAGACCTCATCTCTTACAGCAGTGTTTCCTCCCCCCGAATAGCTATTGCTAGAGAGTGCAACGAAAACCGATCTCTTTGTCATCTAGAGGAGAATGTCACTAATGGTTCAGTGTCCGCTGAGCTAAAGTATGGGATCATAACTGTGTTCAGTAAGACGTGGGGTATGTGTGAGTTTGCCAAGACGCAGGACTGGCCCTGCCCCCTCTCTCCCGGGGCCCTCCAAGTCAAGTTCAACACCACTATCCCACCGTTAGTAGCTCATGTGAGTCTGACACAATTCTTTCTTTACTCTGTTTGATCATCGATACTCAAGTAGTGTGTAGTGTCTATGGTTTGATAACAGTTTTCACGGCAGGCCATTTGGGCTCATGCTAAATATTTTACAGAGCTGTGGACCTATATTCATGCAATGTGTGCGGTTGCCTTGAGATTGTGATTCTTTTCCTATCGTGTGCCGATGATGACAGGGGCGGGTGACTTGGAGGGGATATGCCAAGGACCAGAATGGACTGGAGCTCGTGTGTGTGGCAATGGACTTCCAGATATGACTTTGTACCCGCTCCCCCCTCCTATTGTCTTGTTTTTTTTAGTGCTGTTCTCTGTTATACATGTGACTTTTATTCCACTTTTATTATAGCTAACTGTGTGATTAACCACTACTTCCGTTTCGTCGCGTCTACACTCAGTGCCGCGCTCAGTGATAGAAAGTAATTAGCTATGAAGGCAGCAGTAGTGTTGGTGCTGGTAGTGACGGCGGCAGTGGCCATCCCGGTCCAGTGGCTAGAGCTGGAGTCAGCCAAGACTCTGCAGAATGACCAGACTACTCGTCTCGGAGACGTCTACGAGTTTTGCAGTTAGTTTTGTGCTCGGCTTCAGTGCGCTAAACACGCTTGCTTCTTTTTGTGTAGATAAATCGGTAGACCCTCTGGTCATTACTGGCCTGACGTTGAGCCCTGACCCACCGAAGGAGGGAAAGCCTCTAACTATCACCGTCAGCTATACACTCAGTAAGTGCTGCACGCGCACGTTCACCCCGCCGTATGTGGTGTCCCTCCTCGTCTTCTCCGCTGCAGCTGAAAAAGTGACTGGCGGAATGATCAAGGTCGACGCGGAGTTGGACAACGTGCCACTGTACAATGGCAGCGTTGATCTTTGCGACTTACTCGTTCAGGTGGGAGAGAAGTGTCCCATCGACCCAATGTCTGCAAGAAACACAACCACCGTCAGTATTCCTGTAGTTCACGTACGTAAGACTGCATGAGGAGCTGGGGTGCGGGGCCTGTTATCATGACGTGTTGTCTAACCCCTCACACAGGGTAACTTCAAAGCTAGTGCAGTCGCGACGGACGAATTTGGGAACGAGCTGGCATGTATTACTGTTGGTTTCAAATTCTAACAAACATGTGTATAGTGTGGTGATGTTTCGTGTTCCCTATCTCTACTACGCATGCGCTATTATTATCTTTTGCGTAGGTGTGTATAAAAATAGTCGTGATGCTGGGGCTTCATCTCTCTGCCTCTCTTTCGTGCTATACTAAATTTGGCCGGAAGTATGTCGATCACGTGTTATCCACGAAAGATTCATAATCTTGTGGTCCAACCCTTGTGCATCGGGCAAAGCCAGCAGCTATGAAGGCAGCAGTAGTGTTGGTGCTGGTAGTGACGGCGGCAGTGGCCATCCCGGTCCAATGGCTAGAGCTGGAGTCAGCCAAGACTCTGCAGAAAGGCCGTCTCGGAGACGTGTACAAGAACTGCAGTAAGCAACCTGCCCCTTATTAGGCTCCAGTTAGAGCTGAGCTAACGATGTTGCACTTCCCGCGTTTTTCTCGCCGTGCAGGTAAGTCAACGGACCCGCTGCACATTATCAGCTTGACCCTGAGCCCTGACCCACCAGAGAAGGGAAAGAATCTGACCATCTCTGTCGAGTATGATCTGAGTGAGTGGCCTTGAAAATGCGTGTCAGCACACCCTCCACTCGACTTTTATTACAGCGGAGGAGGTGACCGGTGGAGAGATCAAGGTGAACATCAAGTATGACTCGATCATACCATATGACAAAACCGTCGACATTTGTGACGTACTGAAAACAGTAAATCTATCGTGTCCTATTAAACCAGTCCAGTCCAGATTCACTATCTCCAAAGAAATTCCCAGTGATGTGCCTGGGGTGAGTCAGAGGGTTACGTAATCTTCTATACTGACTCCCTTACTTACCCACCTGCAGGGACACTACACTGGAAGCGTAGTTGCAAGTGACCAGAACGGCCAGGAGCTGGCCTGTTTTGACCTTGACTTCCATCTCTAAGACGATCTAAGCTACTTTGTGTCGCATGAGTCGACAGGTCTTTGTTTTTAGAACAGTTTTAGCCTATTAGCTATACCACTTCCTTGCACTAAGTGAGGGGGATGATGACATTGTTGTTTGCAAGATGTTCAATGCGCATGCGCCGCGCCGAGCTCCCGCGGCAGTCTTCTATATAGCTATTTAGACGTCGGCAGATTCAAATTGACCAATCAGATTGCGTAAAACGTGGATTCTAAATCCCGTATTTTCCAAGTGCGTGTTTCCATGGAGACGCCCGCCAAAAAATGGCGTCTTCGATGGGGGTGTGGCAAGTTTCCGCGCAAAGAAACTCGCTCTGTCGCTGAGAGCTCGCCGCGACGACTTCAAACTCGCTATATCCGATGCTTCTTCGATGAAAGGCCTCTCTACGATGCAAAAAGACACTAAACTGAAGACCTTTTTAGCTTCCCCCGGCAAGAGCGAGTCTTTCGGAAGACGGCGGACCTGGACGATTTTGAAGGCCGACACGGCCTCCGTCTAAACAGGTTATACTGCTTGTCAATGGAAATACACGATTTAGACGGCCTCGGAGCCCTTAGTAGCGTCTTCGCTGCGCTCAGACAGCTACAGCTCAGGGCCCCTCGTGCCGTCTAAATCGCGTATTTCCATTGGCGCGCAGTATAACCTATATATAGCCTATGTCTCTTCAAACACCAACACCTTGTAAAAGACACGCGATGTGCAGTCAGCTACACCGCGTCCGCCTATAAAGAGAAGCGCAGAAATGAGGCTGCGCGAAAAAACCCGAATATCGACGACGACGATTATGAAGAGCGCCTTGTTCACAGCACTACTGCTGGTGGTGGCCGCCGCAGCTATGGCCGCACGCGCCGCACATCTGCAGCCGAAGGCCCACCCAGCAGTTCAGACACTGAGCAAATTCGTCAGAAATGGTACTGGACTCAACGGCCTTTGGAGCGACTGCAGTAAGTCCGAGTATTTGACAGTTTAGCTAAGATTCATCTATCTTCGCGATCTGCGGCGGCGTCTGGCAGGCAGCTCGGGGGACTCGGTCAAGATCCTGAGTCTCAACGTCACTCCCGACCCTCCAGAGAAGGGGCAGAAAGTGACGGCAGACGTGAAACTAGAGTTCAGTGAGTTTCAATCGCCGTGTTATTATGGAGTCGTTTTCACCGCATTATTCTGCAGCGGAGGAAGTGGAAGGAGGCAGCCTCAATATTCTGGTCAAGTACAAGTACATTCCTGTCATGAACAAGAAGAAAGACTTGTGCAATATTCCAGACATACTGGCTGACTCCTGCCCTCTCCAACCTGGCGTCCATGAGGCTACCTTCATACAAAAGTTCCCCTCACATGCTCCCTATGTAAGCAGCACTCTCCTCCATTCTCTTTTCAAAGCGTATCCAGACACCAATGGGACAGTGGGAAGTTCATACTTTAGTGAGGTGTTCCAATTTCAACAAGAACTGTTCTTGGGGAGAAAGGTGTCCTCACTTCAGGAGTGTCCTTAGAGAGTGGGGTTCCACTGTACATTAGCCTACGTTCTTATATGAGCCCATGTTCACAGTGTGCTAGCTGAAAGCATACATACCAGTCTTTTGTTGGAAAGTGGGTATTTTAGTTGGACCTTTATTCAGGCGAAGGGGTGGGCATGGGGCTAAAGTGTGTCAGCCAAGCCGATGGGTGTTTCCACGTCAAAGTTGAAACTAGAGTGTAAATTGAAGTGACTGTATTGTCTTGTTCATAGGGTACGTATGTTGGCAAGGTGGTTGCCAAGGACAAGAGTGGGAACGAACTAGTGTGTATCAAGCTCAACTTCACCATCTGAGAGAGACAGCAGCACTATTCATACTTCACTACTGAACACAGTCACCATTATCATCGCACTGTGTTTTACACTGTATCACATACTAACAGGATTAAGACCCTTGTCTGTGAATACCGCTAACTATATACATCTTGCGCAAGCAGCTGCGGTCTACTGACACTACATCAACCGCATTCAGATTTCATCTGTTAGCACAATAGTTGTATCATGGATTAAAACAGTGATTTTACATCATAATTACATCACTGTGATGAGCGCCACAATGTTTTCACATGGCATTGAAATGGAACTTGTGTTTGGCCATTCTCTTCTCTCTACTGTCCTGATACTGTGTGAGGACAATGTCACATGATCATCACCAGTGTCACATGATCATCACATGACCAACAACAAATGTAAAACAAGGACACCTCTCTAATAAGGGCATCACAGTTTCGCGCATGAAAATTAACCCACTTCACACAAACGAGACATTCCATTGGTGTCTGGATTAGAGGGGTTCTACTGTAGTCACATGACCAGCTGGGGGTGTCACATGACTCCACATACCTTCTCCCTGGTCTGAAGGAGGAGAACGAGGACAGCAGTGGCGAGGAACAGTGCAGCCAGGACCCCAGCAGTACTGTAGACCAGCTGACCCGGGGTCAGGTAGAGCTCCAGTCTCCACCTGTAGGCCAGAGAATTCACTGCAGCATGCAGGGAGGAGCTAGGAGAACTGGGCCCACATGCTTTGGTTACACAGGCCTAACTATACATGTCTCTTTCTTTCTGTTTATATGTTATTGTCTGTGTTTTTGTACGCTTGGGTATGTTATTGTCTGTGTTTTGTGTGCTTGGGTGGGGGAGGTTCTTTCTTTTCCTCTGAGCTAGTATGCTATAAACATGTTTTTTCATGCACAGACAAATAATATCGACAGGCTGAAAAACGGACCGTTTTTGAAATAGTAAGCATCAACATTGCGTAATGTCACATTCGGAAAAAATACAGTGAGTGCAAATGGAATTTTGTGAGTCAAACCACTCTACCCTCAGCGATAACAAGGAAGGAACCAAGGTGTTGTATATACCTGAGTGGCTGGGAGGGAGGACTGGGGATGACTATGACTTGAGAATTGGGCACCAGATTAGTCCACTGACGAGAGGCTGTCACGCCCCCTCCCTCCACACCCACCTGCACACAAGGTTCAGGACAGCATTTCAGGACAAGGTTTGTTTTCAGGACGTCCTGATAAGCACTCACCTCCAGTCTCTCCACTAGACTCGGAGTCTGACCGAGACCAAAGACTGCGAATGGGAGTTGGTGGGCGTGGCCAGAGGTCAAAGTACGCACACCCTCTTTCCGTCGTCCCATTCTGTCGGTAGTTGAGAATCTCACAACAACTCCAGGCAGTACTGAGCCATAGGGCTGGAGGGAGAGAGAGGAAGGAGAGAGAGGAAGGAGGAAGGGGAGAGGGAGGGAGGAAAAGGTTTGAGAGATGAGAGAGAGCAAAAGCCTACCATTTGTCCAGAGCGGCAGTTATGGTAGCAGTGACCACTCGGTACTGGGAGGGAGGAGTGGGCATTAAATAGAGTAACGAGCCACGCAGCCACGGAGTGCTCACCGAGGACCTTGAGGAAGGCGTGGTCGTCCTGGAGGTGATGTCTGAAGGCCAGGAGCTGGTGAGAGGACCCAGCTGCTTGCTCTCTCTCCTCAGTCACCACCAGGTCCAACACTCCCTGCAAATGATAGAGCATGTCCCGTACGATAAGCGGCAGATCTGCAAGGGGCTGCATTTGTAGATAGTAGGCGGTAAGGTAAATGGTTAAATCCCAGCAGCTTCAACCTTTTTACTGGTCGTGAGGTTATTCATTCATTGGCAGATCTGCTGAAAGAGATGTGCAAATGTTTATTCTTGTATGTTAGGTAAAAAAGTGTGTGTGTGGGTGGGTGTGGTCTCACATCCTCCCAGAGGTCAAAGAAGAAGGCTGACGTCACGTTGCCATTGGTAACAGGGATCCACTGGGGGTCCAAGGTGACCTTTGACCCGTTACAGTTGTCACGGCACTGCCTGGGAACTAGCAGCAACACACCAGAGCTGAGGGAGATAAGGAGTAAGGTAGGTAGGAGGTGAGTTAAACTTCATTCGTATCTGGGGCAACTGTTTTCCGTGGTTTTCTCCGTACGGTGCTCTTACTTTGCAACATTTTCATTTAGCACATACTTAATGCGTAGCGTCTGAGGTGCATTGTAAACCTGCTGGACACTGGCAGCAGGATGTCAGGATATCCATCTAGATCAAGGTCTCCTGATGAGAGATGGTGTGGCAGTGGCCAGTGAATATCTAGAGACTCTCACAATGTAGGTATATAACTGACCCAGTACAGGAGGGTGGGAGGAGAGAGAGACTGACTCTCCATGAACAGCTACAGTGTGAACCTACAGGCAGTGAGGGAAGAGAAGATGGGGTGTCTATTATTCTGCCACTACATCTCTTGTGAGACCTGTGTGAAGTTGACGGGTTGTGTTCCACTGACCCCACACCCATCAGGGGAGGTAGGGAAGGACGACTGAACGGAGAAAGGCGTATATAGAGATGTAAAAACAGCTTCGAGGTCATAAGGTGAAACAAACGACACAAGTACACTGATGTATGGCAGACCTGATGAGAGAGGATGTGGACATGAGCAGTGGTACAGTCTGGATCAGGACACGTCACTCCAACAGCCTCTATCTCACCATCGCCATCTGTACATATAACACAACAGAGATTAGTTAAATACAGTGGAAGAACTTTGGAGGGAGAAAACTCACTTGAGACAATAATTTCACACACAGACATAATCATCTATACACGTCTATTTCATACGAAAGATATCTCGCTAGAAGGTTCCGGAGTGGAAGAGATGTACCGATATCATTGAAGGTGAGCGGACTGAAGACAGCTGCAGACGAGAGCGGGAAGGGGAGGGGCACGGGGAGCGAGGGAGACAGGAAGGAGGTCTGTGGATCACATGATACTCAGCTGATTGTCACATGACTACTGATGAAAGAGAGAACAAACCTCATCACCACATGATGGATTCCTCTGCCAGAACAAAAGACTCCGGCCACTTGAGCCACGCCCTTCTACCACCACATCTAGACATGTCCACAGCAGTCATGTGAGGATCACGTGACCACCAACAGACCACACCCACCTGCTAGATTATCATCAGTGAGATCAACATAGTAGCTACTGGTGTAGTTTAGTGACAACGAAATGGTCTCCTTCTGGAACTCTCGTCTATGGGGATCACATGATTACATCACATGTGCATCATGTGAGAGTCACGTGACTCACAGGAATTCTTTGCTGAGCCAGAGAGTGGAGGTATTGTTAAGACAACTGTGGGTGAGAAGGTCGGGGATGTGGTCTCCGTTGCCACTGAAACGTGATTACACGAGGAGACAAGAGAGGAAGGGGGTGAATGGGAAGACAGATGGAGGATTGAACTGCTAGGAGATGAGACTCACTCTAGGACCAGTGGCGGGGAGAGAACTCCATTCCCTATCACTTCCTGGTATTCTGAATGGTAAGACTGTAATAAGTCAAACTGATCTCTGGGATGTACAGCAGCTCTCACCAATGGCAGGACCCCTTGAGTGCGGTTTCATCCAGTACACAGTCATAGAGTGGCACCTTCCTCCCTCTCTTGTGAGGGTCAGCAAGTCCACCTGACCATCAGCATCGAGGTCCACTGCCACTGTGTCCACCACGCTACTTCCATTCCTGCTGGGAGGACAAGGGTTGGACAGTATTGGTGTACCACACATACGTACAGGCTCAGGAGCTGGTGTAAGTGAAATCGCTGTTTCTCTCTGCTCCATAGGTACACTGATATGCTATTGTCTGTGGAGAAAACGTTAGCACTAACATGGGACGGTCCGAATTGAAACCTGACTGACCCGTTTGAAACAGGATGTCGGTGGCTTTGTCCGCATTGAAGTCCACGAAACCGACCACCTTTCCTCTAGCGTCTCCTAGTCTCACGTGATCTGTGACGCTTGAGAACTTGAGGGCGAAGCTACAGTGGCCCAGAAAGACGGCAAACACCCAGAGCAAACGCGACAGCATTTCTGTGCTGACTCAGCACTTTATTTTGCTGACACAACACTTTTTATACCGTGACGTATAATAGATATTGCGCATGCGCCGTATGGGAAGCAAACCAAGTGCAATTCTGCAATGCTATGCTGCGTTCAACTAGTCTTGTCCTGCGGCCAGTCTTGAGGAAGATGTCCGTCTCCAGCACACGAGGAGGAGATGCCAAGTTCGAGGGAAAAGTAGCGGTCGTCACAGCATCCACTGACGGGTGAGAGAGAGAGATCAACTGAGTGTAGCTATTGATAGTGGGTGGAGCTCCGAGACTAAATCCTCATGTTTCGTTATGGTACAAATGCAGCGCATAGCTCAATGGGATAGTAATAAACTATGTTCTAGTAGAAGGCATTCTCCTGTCTGTGTAGGATTGGGTATGCGATAGCAGAGAGGCTGTTGAGGGACGGGGCAAAGGTGATGGTGAGCAGTCGCAAGGAGAGGAATGTGGAGAGAGCGGTAGAGAGACTGAGGGAGGGAGGAGGTAGAGATGTGGGGGGTGTGGTCTGCCACGTGGGTAAGGAGGAGGACCGCAGGACACTCCTACAGGAGGTGGGCAGGAGATAATGGGGATAACTAATGAACATTGGTCCCTACAGACAGTGAGGAGGTTTGGAGGTCTGGATATTCTAGTCTCCAATGCAGCAGTCAACCCTGCCGTTGGAGACACCACCACAGTGAGTGCGGAGCACTACCCTAATTCCATCTTCCAACCTCCTCTTTCTCCCAACAGGTGGAGGAGAGTGCATGGGACAAGGTAAAGTCTTGATTTGCATGTCCCTGGGTCTAGTTTACCTCTGACTCTGCAGATTCTCGATGTGAATGTCAAATGTACAGCTCTATTAGTGAAGGAAGCACTTCCCTACCTCAGGAAGAGAGGGTAGGCCTTTGTCATGTGATCGAATCAAAGGTCACATGACTGTCACGTGATCTATCCAGAAATGCCTCTATCGTGATAGTGTCGTCAATAGGTGGATTCATGCCATTCTCTGTAAGTAACACTTGCAGAGTTTATTAGTGGGTGTGGTCTCCAGGCTCTAGGGCCCTACTCCACCAGTAAGACGGCACTGTTTGGACTCACCAAAGCCCTCGCCACAGAACTTGCCCCTGCAATTAGGGTCAATTGCATCGCTCCTGGTATCATAAAGACCAAGTTCAGCTCAGCTGTAAGAGCCGCAACCCCTGTATATCACTCTTACTCGTTCTTGTTTCAGATATGGCAGAATGATGTAATTGCTGCAGAGGCAATCAAAAACATTCCAATGGGGAGGTATAAGTCATTTGTCATCAGCTAGACTTTACTTTCAACTCCTGCTGCTAGGTTGGGTGAAGCAGAGGAATGTGCAGGAGCTGTTGCATTCCTGTGTTCTGAGGATGCCAGCTACATTACTGGAGAGACCATTGTCATCTCTGGAGGAATGCCCAGCAGACTATAACTCTAAACTGTATGCGCATGCGTGGATATCTGCGGCGGTTAAAGAACGGTGCGCTCTAATTAGAATTTAGAAAGGGTCGCGATGTCGGCAGTTGCGGAGAAGCCGGTGGATCGGGAGGGTCTGCCAGTGACCTGCACCAATCTGGACGCCCTTCCAGTCTACAATGAGATGCTCCTGGTCAACATGGCAGTACGGGAGAGCGCTCTGTCTCAGGTTCAATCGGTGCTGGAACTGGACCAGGGCTTCATTCTAGCTCACTGCATCTTGGTGAGCCAGTCACTCCACCCATTGGTCAATTATTTAATCTTCCTTATTGCTAGGGGTGCATGTGGTTGTCCGAACTTATCCCAGCTACTGATCCAAAAGGTACTTGCCAATTTATACGCAGCTTCAGAAGTATTTGCTGCAACACTGTCTCATTAGAACCTGCAGACTGTAGTACTTTTCCTCCAGTGTCAGGTCATGTGAAGATGGCAAAGACAGCTCTGGAGGGAGGGACACTGACAGAGAGGGAGGAGAGACATGTGCAGGCTCTGCTGGCGTATGCAGAGGGACAGCTGCCCACATCAATCGACCACTGGGCAGCCATTCTGGTCAACTACCCCAGAGACTGATTGCAGTCCGCATACTCTTCGTCTCTTGTATAATGGTCGGGAACTTTGAGAAGATGAGAAATGTTTTAGCTGGGGTTCTGCCTCGTTGGGACGAGGACATGCCTTCATACCCTTTCATCCTTGGCTTGTGAGGGAAATTGAATTTTGTCATTGAATTTCTCTTCTCTTCCTCCTCTCCCCCCTCCAGTTTTGCCTTCGGTCTTGAGCAGACAAACTACAAAGACAGGGCAGAGGATGTAGCTAGAAAAGGGCTGGACATGGAGAAGAGAAACCCTTGGGCCACCCACACCCTCAGTGAGGGGCCCCTCTCGTCCCACCTCATCAGTCTCATGTGACCTTCACATGCAGGTCATGTGATAGAGGAGGCCCGCCCAGTCCAGTCTGGAGTGGAGCTGCTAACACAGACCAGAGAGAACTGGCTGGACTCGCTCATTGGCAGCCACATCAACTGGCACCTTGCTCTGTACTACTATGGTAAGAGATTGAGCATGCGTACGTACAACTGTGGCTCTTCATACGCATGCGCAAATTTATACGCGCCGTCCGCGATGTCGCGCGCGGCAGCAGCGGGATGCGGCTGGGTTAGCGGTGACTTGCGCCGGGCCTGAGGCGCTGGAGGCCTTCAACAGAGTCCTTTGGGCTGGCGTGAGTTACGTGGAGTACCTCTCCCCCCTCGCGGAGCGAGCTGTGGAGCTGGACGAGGGTCTGGTTTTAGCGCACTGCCTCCTGGGAAGCGCCCATAAAGCAGATTCTGAGTTTGCTAAACACTCAATAACTTTCAGGGATATTTGCAGCTGTCGAGTTTCCATCCGGCCAGCAGTCCTCAAGGTACATTCAGCTTTGCAAAGCCATTACATAATGTGTGCATCATATCCATTCTTCGGTGTAAAGTGTCAGGTCATGTGAAGGTGGCAAAGACAGCTCTGGAGGGAGGGGCACTGACAGAGAGGGAGGAGAGACATGTGCAGGCTCTGCTGGCGTATGCAGAAGGACAGCTGCCCTCAGCCATCGACCACTGGGCAGCCATTCTTGTCAACTACCCCAGAGACCTACTCGCCACTCACATGCTGTTTGTGGCCTGCAAGATGTTGGGGATGTTTGCCAGAGCCAGAGACACCCTGGCAGCCCTGTTGCCTCACTGGGAGAAGAAGGAACCTCTCTATCCTTACCTCCTGGCCTTGTGAGAACTCAACACCCTCTCTTGCCGTCATAATATCTTCCGACTGCTAATGTTTGCTGGTCTTTGTATGTTTCTCGTTCACGTGTGCTATCAGCTACGAAGCTGTATTGAAGAAGGGGGCTGAGTGGACACTTGTGCCATATTATTCACTAAATACCGTTTTCTCTGTGTAAAACCTCTGCCTTTGCTAAACGTTGATTCCATAAAGCAATGTTGGATTTTGCTCAAAACCAGACTCAAACTCTCTCCTCTCTCTCTCCATCAAGCTATGCGTTTGGTCTAGAGGAGACTAAGTACTATGGCGAAGCCGAGAAGGCAGCCAGGGAAGCCATAGAACTGCAGAGGAAGACTCCGTTTGCTTGTCATGTAATGGTCGTGATCTCTTAGACCACGCCCACTGCCGGCTCTCGTGTGGACTGGTCACATGCAGCTCATGTTGAGTTGATGAGACTAAGGAGGCGGGGGAGGGGGTGGAGTTTTCTAACTGGTAGCCGTGTGATTGCGTCTCAGACACACGTATAACAACAACAACACCTTACCTGTGCACAATTACTCTATATGGTGGGGTGGCTTGTACCTTGGTGGGTCGTGGCCACATTAGTTTGTTTGTGTACGGCTGCGTATCTGTGCAAATGTGAGGAAAATCCACGTGGAAATTTGTCGATGATTTGCCAGTGACATTAATTGTGGATGTGTATGAGAGCCACTAGTGGAGAGGATAGTCAACTACCCTTGCTATTGTTAGCCATCTCTCTCTGTCTTTCTCTCTGTCTGTCTTCTCTGTCTATCTGCCCTCCAGACTTGGAGACACAGAGGCTGTTCTGAATGAGTATGACACCATCCTCGTTCAAGTCTGTCACCCCCGACAACAGGTTGGGAAGATCGATGGCCCCAGCCGAGTTTGAGTTTTTTGAGATGCGAATTTGACATTCTCATGGGAGTGGTGCGAGTGTTGCGTAACCGGTGGCAAAGGAGGAACAGATCCGGAGAATCACACTAGTGGGAAGCACTGGCTGAGGTCCGCGGTGAGAAGAATGAACAGATAGGAAGGTAAGTCTGTCGGCAGGAGAATACTGTAAAGTGGGCGTGACGGCGTGGAGCCATGCATGCCACATAGCACTGAATACGTTCAATTGTTTGCATTGGACCTTGATCAGATAGTAAGTCCTGTCCGCATGGGCTGGTGTTAATTTGTGAAAGCTTTTGTAGCACAATTACAAATTGAAGAGTAAGGAAAGGGATATCATAAAACAGTTGTTAAGGAGGTCAGTCTGAGGAAGTAAACGTATGTCCCATCAGCTGAAAGAAATGCGACTGCAGGTTAATAAACGACTGGCCCAAGGTTATCGCGGCGCTCTGTTGGAATACGGCAAGGTGTGGGGGGTTGTGAAGACATCTTGAGAGGAGAGAGAGAGACCAGTAGAGAGGCGAGAGATCGCTCAGGGAAATGGGTCAAACGGTGGGCAACTCTTTAAAACAAAAATCAAAAAGGCGGGCGGATCTTGTTATTTTATCATCAGACTAGGGCACCGCATATCCATTCTCGCCCCGTATGGCTGGGTTTCCTCGGTGCCAAACATTG